TCTCAGACTCAAGTATTCAACTTAAGCACCAAAGTATGTGCAGAAGCTACAAAATTTCTAAGCCATTTAGGAACTCAATACTCATTTTTACCTCTTGTCAGTACTAATGATCAGTCAGTCTGTGATCAAGGGTCAGATCCTGGATCTGTTACTCATGGAAAAAAATATTTAACAGACTAACTCAGCTGAAGCCAGGGAAAATATTCGTGGTCTAATCATCGAGCATCAGACTACACGACGCTAGTCTGGCCTCACAAAGAGATGACTTCTGTCATCTGAAACTCAAATTTACTCCAAAAGGGAAAACTCTCATATAAATTAAAGAAAAAATGTACAGTTATATGCCAACACTATTTCTTCCAGAACAGTGCAGTATGCAAGTACAGCTACAAATATTTGAACGTGAAAAGCAGAAATTTAGGAGCTGCAACAGAAATAACAATCATACTGAAGACAAGTAACACCACTGAGAAATATACTCCAAATATTGGTATAGCAGATTACATATATGGGTCAGCTTGTGTACATACTGGAAGACACTGTCTTGATCATCAAGTGAGCTGTCCACATCATTTACTGTAGTAACAGGACAAGGGGTAACGGGTTAAAACTTAAACAGGGGAAGTTTAGGTTGGATATAAGGAGGAAATTCTTTCCTGTGAGGGTGGTGAGGCACTGGAATAGGTTGCCCAGCTAGGTTTTGAATGCTCCATCCCTGGCAGTGCTCAAGGCCAGTTTGGACGAAGCCTTGGGTGAGATGGATTAGTGTGAGGTGTCCCTGTCCATGGCAGGGGGGTTGGAACTTGGTGATCTTAAGGTCCTTTCCAACCCTAACTATTCTATGATTCTATGATAAAAAGGCACAAAATGTGTAAAATAAATTTGTTAAATAAGTGGTTTATATTCACATTTAAAAAGAGGATGTTAATCTCCCTATGTGTTCTTTTCAGATGCTTGGCTGCGTTTGTAAGCTTGCATTTCATTTTCTCAATGAAACTTGTTAATGCTCTTGATTTCTGGGTTATAAGTGAAGCATCTTCCCCCCTCATTACTTCACACAAAATTTTTTTCATTTTTTTCATTATCTCTAATAAATAGACACAAGTTGACTGTACCTTATAGAAAGGAATTCATAAATATTGATCAATCCCCTATCGAATCATCTGCTGGATATGGCAAAAGGTGGTGTTTGCTTTTGGCAATTCGTGCCTGCAGCCCTAAGAGAGGGCAGCATCCTCGGGAAGAAAGTTTTTACCATTGTTGTGCATCAGTGTGTCATGACTTTTCCTGCTCAAAAAGCAGCTGGTTTATCTCAAGACTGAAAGTCTTCAATGCTACATGCAGGATTATCATACAAGAAAATGAATGTATTCCCATGATCCAGAATTTCTATCATAAGGGAGGACCAGATACCAGAAACTCAGGATGCAGTTTTCTACTTTACCTTTAGAGATGTAAGGAATAGTTTTATTCTTTTTTGTGGGCACATTCTCTATGATAAAGTCACTTCAGTACACCAATATTTCAGGGAGGAATTCACATTTTGCTATTTCTATTTGGTTCTAGATATCAGTAGAAAAGTTTCATTATGGCTCTCCCTAATGCTATTAAGTGGGGGAGGCTGCTCAAATGTTGGACCCCCCTGCCACACTTTACAACACAAGTGCAATTCCTCTACCTGATTCTGGTCCCATTAACCCAGGCCCTGTCAGGTTCCTTGGAACACCGACCACACAGGTATCTTCATTTTGTTGTTTATTCTGTGTTAGCTTAATGCAGATGCACACAGCATTTTTCTGAGGGTTATTCCAATCCTTTCACTTCTCAGCCAGTCTGTGTGAGATCAGTTTCACCATTCTTCACCCTCTCTCATCACAGATAATGATGTTGCTGCCCATTATTAAGTCACAATAGACACTACTTAAAAGAATATTGACTTCGATTTGGGATTTAGAGTTTGGTGTTTCTTTTTTTTTGTTTGCTTTTTTGTTTGTTTGGGTTTTTTGTTTGTTCTGGTTTCTTTTGGGGCTTTGTTTTCTTGTGCAGTTTGTTTGTTTAGGGCTTTTTATGTGGAAGACTGGGATAAAACAGGCCAGAAGGACTTGTGAAGACTGTTTAAGTAAGCCCTTTGTACCAGTGTGTTTTCACAGGACATGAAGAGTTATTTTGTCAGAAAACTCTTTGTGCATTGTTTAAATCAGATTTTCCCTATATACTACTTCATGCCCCTGTGGATGTGTGAAATGCAGGCTCTGGGTAGACAAGGTGGCTGTGGCAGGGGAGGCAGCGGTGGCTTCAGCATTGCTACCTTTCTCCTAAGGCCCTGCTTTCAAATATGTGAAGCATGGTACATAAACCATCACTTTTGGGGAGTGTAAGACTGAAAAGATGCAAGTGGTCTATGCCCATTCATTTGAAAGATACTGAGATGCCCTCTCCCCCTTAAAGGGCTGTTATATTCCCCAAAATCAGAGGAAAATGTACAGCAAGTCATGGGAAAAATCATCTGTGGCAGGTTTTCCTGTCTGACTTTGGGAAGCCAGACTGTGGCTAACTAGAAACACCCTTGTTATCTTTGCTATCTCAAGCACCTGCTTCAGATGCCAAAAGGAGCCTGAAACAGGCCCTCAGATGCAAACAGTCTCAAGTGCAAAATCCAAACACTCCAGTTAGATTTCTTGTCAGATTCTTGGTTCACACTCAGATAGTGAAAGAGGTAATGAAGCTTCAAGAAATCAAGATTCTCCCTTGGGTTAGCCTGGCTAAAACTTTATTTCATAGGAGTTTTCACAAATTAAATAAATATAAACCTCTTTGTTATTTCAGGGACATAAAAATTTCAATTATTCCCAGCTAAGGAATATGATCATGACAGAATAACAAGTGTTTTCATACTATTTTAGGAAACTATTTATTCTTCAGAATTGTACTTCTAAGGTATATTTTTTTTCCTATATGAGATTTAGCTAAAATGGCTATTCTGAGCACCACCATGAAGCTATGCTGAAAAATGTATCAGAGGGCTACAGCACCATAAGTAGACATTTAAATTTTTAACTCTACTTCCAGTTTATTATTCTGCTAGCTTTTTTTCTACTTTATGCTTAAAACATGTTCTGCATTCATACTGGGTTAAATTAGCCTGGGTTGGTGGTTGACCCTGGTTGTTGCAATGGCACCACATTTCTTAATCCAACTTTGGAGGTATGAATTAAAATCTGCAGAAAATATTCATGTCCTTACAGTTGTAAGGAGAGAGAAGAAAACAAGATAATCCCAAAAGCAGAACGCCTGGCAAGTGAAAGTTGCTGTTTTTCTTAAGAGTGGACACCCCTTGAGATTTTTGTTCCGTACAAAAGAGAAACATTAACTAGAGATGAGGATATACTTAGATGAACAAAATACTGTGCGGTGGTTATATGAGAATTCACAGAGCATTACCTATACTGTCTGACTTATCCGCAGTGAGGCAAAATGGTTTACTGCTCTCTCACCTGCATCACACCTTCATCACACTGCCCATAAGTGATTTGGAGAAAACTACAGCACAAACAATGCTACGACAGCTTTAACTGCTAGCCCAGCTCTCAAAAAGTGCTGATCATACTTCACAAGTGTGCACTTCACACTATTTTAACTCCTGGGGACTAAAAGTATTTCAGCTGTAAATTAAGCAGTGTCTTTTAAGAAGTAACTTTGCATTTTTGTTAGTTTATTTTAATTCACATTCTGCAGCAGAAATAGGCGTTTCAACTCCTCTTTTTACACTCTGTCTCACTGAAATCCACCACAAAAATTGGACAGTCTCTCTGCACATTCAGACAGAAGTCACTTCTAGCCACAGGCTGTCCTGGATTTTCCCTGACTGTGCTAAGCACGGAAGGTTGCTGTACATGTACTCCTCTTTCTCCTAAGCAGATGGATGGGAACAGGCAAGGCCTCAGGCCCTTACACCCATTAATTTGCAAGGTACATTTGATTCAGCAAAATCATCTCTGTTTACTGGTGATTTAAGAAGAAGTGAGGATCCATTCCCAGCTGAGACAAGGCTGAAGAGGCCTTTTGCTATTAAAGGCTACACCAAGATACTGTATTTCTTTCTGAATTGTCTCCAAAATGAACCCCGAACGCTCACCTTAGGGCTGCAACTACACACATTACCTCTTTTGAACAAGTTAATCCTTCAGGATGACAAGTCATTGCCTGCTGCTTTGGAAAATGTCATGGCATAGATAGGGATAAAATAAATATCCACTTACTAAAAAACAAAACCAAGCACAACACAACAAAAACCACACAAGGGACATGCAGTTAATTGAATTGATTACACTGAAGACATTAAATAAAAGCACTGCTATTGTCCAGTCTTCTTCTCTTTGTCCCTCACCTCCTGCAGGTCTGACCAAGTTGTAAATGGATAAATAAAAAAAGCCACCTCCCACACGAACCTGCACAAGTTGCAGGTAAAATTGGTGGTGGTGGTGGTCAGTGAAAAACCAGTTTCTAACTGAAAGTCATCCTCAAACAGTGGGGCTCAAACTGCATTTCTGCTCATGTGGAACTGCCCTGGGCTCACAAAGACCCCAAGGCTTGTCTACAGAGCATGAGAGGAAAGCGCCATGGTCACTTCTGAGAAGTAAAGGCTCCAGTTCTTTAAGGCAGCCTTGACTTCCAGAGGGTCTACACCAAAGAGCACACTTCAAATGCAGAAGGACAATTCTGAACCCTATTGCTGATGTTCAAGTTTAGTTTTTAACCACATGAGGGAATTGCTCCTCTAAAAGCAAACTTACCAGTGAGGTTACAGTTCTGTACATGGACCTTTCCTTCAATTTGCTCTCCTTTATTTATTTCTTTATTGCTCTGATTTTCTTATTTAAAAATGCTGAGAGGTTAGAAAAGAGTCGGATCAAGTCAATGTGTCAGGCTAATGTTTAACCATAAATTAACACCTCACAGATAAAAAGGGAGCATACTACAGATTTCAGAGCTGAATCTGCTGCCCCAGCCTGACAGAAGCTTCAGTAGCGCTAGGGTCTAAGTGCATTCAGCACCTTCCTAACTCATTCTTAGCTACTTTTTTCTTCCTCCTTAGGAGTGAACTGTGGAAAAAAAAAAAGTCTCCTAGCTGAATAGTCTCGGTTTGTTTATGGTTTATCATTGATGAGCTACAGATAAGATTCAACTTTGCTGCCAACCGAGTTCATCTGTTCAGAACAACAGCTACAGAAAACCAGACTCCTCAACACCAGAGAATTGTCCAACCGCTGCTATGTCAAACTTTGTAGGTCCAGAAGTCAAAAAATTTGTGGCTTGGGACTATGTTGTTTTTGCAGGGCTGTTTTTAGTCTGTGCTAGCATTGGAGTCTTTTTTGCAGTTAAAGAGAGAAAAAAGAAAACTTCAAAGGAATTTTTGGTGGGTGGTAGGCAGATGACATGTGGACCAATAGCTTTCTCTCTCACATCAAGCTTCATGTCAGCAGTGACTGTTTTGGGGACACCCTCCGAAGTCTATCGTTATGGGGCATCCTTTGTGCTGTTCTTTCTTTCATATGCACTTGTCATCATTTTTACAGCAGAACTCTTTCTACCTGTATTTTACAGATCTGGCATTACAAGCACTTATGAGGTAAGTAAAAATAATTTTAAAAGACACTATTTTAATATAAAAGTCTATATCATGCATATAGATATTCATAGAGAAAAAGCTCTGACAGAAGATTTTTTGCAGTGTTTTACAGAACAAATATATCAATGCACTAATTCTTTTTCAAACCAGGTGGCATTACTCAAACTGGTTATTCATACTGCGGTAAGTTGAAAGAACAACTTAAGGGTCAGAGCTCCTGTTATGCATATACAGCAAAGACAGGAGATGGGATTACACACCAGCACCAAAGGAAGTTACAGCTGAAAAGTATTTTAAGTGTATCCAAATGCTTCTGGTCTTATAAGCAACTATTCCACTTATATATATATACATGTATATATGTATATATGTATATACCTGCTTTTGCAGAGTAGGTATTAAAGACAGACATTAAGAACAAAATTCAATAGTATCCAACTCAAACTTGGTCTAGAGCTGGCAATTTGGTCTAATTTAATATTTGAGATCTAAAAAAAATAGTCAAGTAGATACTTGATAACCACTGTGATGCAAGGAAGGAATAAAGAGGAAAATGGCTGCAAGTCTCCTTCAAAACAAACCAACCAAAACCGAACCAAATCAAACCAGCTCAGGGCTGGGGAATGAATTCAGGTATTCTCTAGGAAATGAAATTAAATGAACAACCTCTGAATTTTCTAGAGGTTTTGCCTGGCATTCCTCCTGGAACACATTATTTTCGTCATATGACGTTTCAGTAATTGAGAAAAATCAAAATACACAGCCAACCTTGTGATGTTACTGCTAAGAGCACAGTGTGCAGCCCTTACCACCTGCACACCCAGAGGGCAGCTACTGAGCATTCGGGAGTAGTCCTTTAGTCACTTTAATCAACAGGCTCAAATTTGGTCTCTCTTGTTCTTGAGCAGTTTGAACCAAGCAAGAATTGGATGAAGAAAGCTGAGTGAGTTCATGAGGAAGACTTCTCATGTTCTCTAAGCTCAAACCCTAGGAGCAGCTTTGGTCAAACAACTCTGCCTAGGTATTTGGAAGTAAGTCAGTTCTAGGTTGGAAAAAAGTAAAATTGACGATCTGCTGCCACTGCCACAAGTAACCGCATTTTCTAGCTGGTTTCGGTGCAAGATCAGAGAACGAATTACTCTTCTCATTTGAACCACCAAAGCTGTCATTGCACCCAGAGAGTCCCCTCAAAATGACTCTGCTGGCTTGAGGAATTATTTTTAGAAACAAGTTACATAAATTAGCTATTTATCTGTATGGCAGATTGTGGGGCTTATTATGCAAGAGACATGAGAAACATGAAAATGAGCAAAATTAATAGGAAAAAAGCTGCTTTGGAAAACTATACCTAGAGGTTTGTAAAAGAGACAAGGCTTGTACAGCCTGCGCCTGGAGTCTGCTGGGAGCACACGGGACTATGGCCCGAGGAAAGATCCAGCCCGTCCATGGTTAGAAGGGATGCTGCCACAGATGTAATTTTTTTGGTCAGCTCTACAGAGAGGCTCCAAGTGGTGACTCAGGTTTAAAAGCTGAGCTTTTGGGGCTAGAGAGCTACTCACCTCTACAGTTATGTGGTAACTAGAGACACTTCCCTACATGTAGCTGTATGTCCCTAAGAACTCCACTTGCTGCTCCATGTTGATGATGTGCAGACTGAGACAGGGCAAGCAAGAAAGCCAGTTTAGCTCAATCACTGTGGAACTCTCTTCTGTGTTGCTTCTTCTCCATCTGTTCCACCACCACTTTGGTCATTACAGGAGTCAAACCACACTATTTCTCCTAGAGATGACCTCAAGTTTCCTCTTCATACAGGTGGAATATACTTTCATTTTAAGTTTAAATTTCTCTTCCTTTCAGTTATTCCCAATACAAAGAATACTGAGTATTGCAACCCAACATATAACTTCAAGTACCTGTTACTGATGAGAAGATTTTTCACATATAATTATCACTATGAGTAATAATAATCATGCTCTCCTGCTCATTACTTATAGCAGCAGTGCCAGCTGCCAGTAATTTTAGTTGCATAGAAAAAAGAAGGCTAATAGCTGTGTCACAGGTGCTGCATGTGCAATTTACTGAAATTCCTCTTTTTCCCTAGTATTTGGAGTTAAGATTTAACAAGATTGTCCGTCTTGCTGCAACACTGATCTACATCCTGCAGACGGTGAGAAGCCATTGACTCTGTTTATGCCTATTTCACTCAACATTTCTTTTGACAGACTAATGTCAGACTGCACATTTTCTATAATGAGATGTTTTAATGAGTACTCTTTTGTCCTGTAATTTTTTACTTGGACTGTGAATGTTAAAAAGAATGAATGGCTGCTTTGCTAACTTTCTAGCTTTCTTAACTTTTCCTTGTTTAGGATTAAAAATGCCATTTTTGTTGTCTTTGAAACGTGCATGTTTTGCTGAACTCTCACAGCTTGTCAGATTCTTGATCTCATTATGTTCCCTTGTCTCTCTTTCCAAATGAGTGGATTCTGTCTTTCTTGAAAAGCTAAACGAGCTGTACTGAGTACATTTACTTAATCAATTACCATTTCTGATAGCGGGGTGAAGGTATCCCATTTGAAAGCTGTTGCATGTGGCGTCTCCCTGGGGGGGATGCCCAGGTAGGACCAACCCGGTCCCAGGAGGTACCATCTCAAAAAGTCACATAGTTATGTATTTGATGGAAAGATGAATTTTATGGGATGTTTGAAAACATTTCTTTCTACCTTAATTCCATTTCAGTCATTTCAAAACCCTTAGGAACAGATTTGAGCGCTTATGTATTTTCAGGCTTTGTTTCTCCCTCAGTTCTGTCAGAACATATGCATGAGAGCATTGAGGCAGCTACTTTGAAAGGCTTTGAATAGAAAAATGGATGTTTAAATTCCAAGATCAATGCACCTTATTCCAAGATCAGTGCACCTTATTTCAGTATAACTGTTTGTGTTTTCCCAAGAGCTCCTCTTTCTACTTGACTAGGGTATTTTTGTCATCTAGTCATCTTTGCAACTGGTGAAATAGGTAATACCAAAGCAAACAATGGTCCTTTGATCAGAAAGGAATTAAACCAGTGATTTTGTTTTGTAAAGGTTGAAACAGAAATCCAGATACAGTTAAATGAACTGATATAAAGAAACCCCCAGATCTCATATTTTGCTCTTCTAAATAGAAAATTATCCCTGAGCATTTACACACACCTTTTTTTCATTAAGTTGGGTTTGTTGTTTTTTTTTTTCTTCATTTTTCTCCTCCAGATCCTTTACACAGGAATAGTAGTTTATGCTCCATCACTGGCACTCAACCAAGGTGAGTTCCCATGCTGCACTACACAGCTATCCCAACCAATCACACAAGGCAAACAGAATAAATGAAGTGAGGAAAACAAAGTAAAAAACAAACAATCAAAAAAACCACAAAAATTCTGTGAGAAGTTTTTTGCCTGCTCCTCAGAGCTCTGCATTTCCCATGCCTCACATCTCCCTCACACCAGTGCATTAGCAGGAGCTTCACATTTGCTGTTCTGCTCTGCTTTGCACTCAGTAACCACCTAAAGAGGTTAGCAATGAACAATTTCTCAACATCCTTACAAAGTTCACAGTACAAGCTGACGATCCAAGACCGTGTTCTGTACTTTGATTCCCCTCTTCCCTGTCTCCCGTGCTCAGGTTCCCATGGGCATTACTCCATTCCCTGTAGCTGGAACCAAATACCATGCTGCTGTCTGTCTGCACACTTCAATTAATCCTTGCAAACTGGACATACAGCTTCCATCATAACAGATGGGAGTAGTGATTTTACTGCCATAGGGCAAAAAAAATCGTGATGGCCTAATTCCTGATATGATCAAAATCGAGGCTCTTCTCATTGTTTGACGTCTGAGTTGTGATCAGTTTGTCTGACCGCACCTTCACACAGCATAAAGCTTCCTTCCTCTGGAGCTCAAATGAATTTTATGTGACAATTTGTGTTTGTTGTTAGGCCACATTGACTCTGCTGATAAGAGAACCTTTACAAATAGATATGCCCTCATAAACTACTCCTGGTGGGAGACTTCAGTATAAGCCAAAACAGAATTTCAGCATCTTTTGTAAAGTAACTTTATGAACTAAAATGTACAGGAAAACTGGTTTTAATGCAGCATATTCTAGCATTAAACTGTTTTGGCTTGCAGGGAATGGAATTTAGTTTGGGTTGGGATTTATTGTTAGGGTTCCTTGGAAATATCTGAAGAACCTGATTACTTAAGGGAAAATTCTGGACTAAGAACAGAAAGCACTGCTTATAAGCTGTGTCCCATAGGAATGATGTTCTTGCTGTGTGCGATTCCTCTTACATGTTACTTTTGCACACCTGAAAGTTAGTTAAATCAAATTTGCAAGAAAACAACAATGCAAACCAGTATCCAGAAGCATTAAGAAACCTAAACAATGCAGCAAAGCTCCTAATAGACACAAAAGAGTAAAATAATACTTGCTCCGATCCTTCTAAAGCTAAAGGATCATAGCTTTTCTGTTACCATCCAGGCGGCCTACCTCCATTTCACTAACCATTTGGTTTTCTTTGGTTTCACAGTCACTGGATTTGATCTCTGGGGCTCTGTGATTGCAACAGGAATTGTCTGCACTTTCTATTGCACCCTGGTACGTGACAGGCATAACTGAACAGCTGGAACATACACTGTTAATTCAACCATGCTTCTTACTTGACAGGCTATTGCAGAAGGGTGGCTTCTACATACATTCCAACTGACTGAGGTTTAAAGTAGGAGAACATAGAGATAAATTTCTTTTAGACTCTGTGGAACAGATAAGTCTATTTGGAGAAAAAATTATTTCCTCTCAAATCCTGTGCTGTATGTCTCAAGGTTTAAACCAAACAGTTTGAAGCACAGTCCAGATAAGGAGGTGATAACCTTCCTCTGCCACACTAAATCTTTTGAGAGAAGATGATTCTTCTTATCTTTTACAAGTTATAGACTGAAAAACATCGCAATGAAAAATGTGCCTCTGGTGTCACCCCAGATTAAGAACAGAGTGATAAAACCTAGGAAGGCCAATCAACAGGTCACAGAGAGCTTTTCTTCTGAGTGGAAGCAACAGGAGACCTAGCATTACAAAAAAGATAAACACTGTTGTGGAAGCAGCAGAGGGCTCAGGACACAACCTCATTTCTGTTCTCATTACCACTATGGAATCTGTTCACTATTCCAGTCCACCCTTGCTGAAAACACTTGTTATGCTGCTCTAGTGCAGATTTGATCAAATATGAAAGCAGCTGTGGAAAAAGCTGAATCGAAAACTTTCTGGAGCTCTTTTTCCAAGTTAGGCTAATTGTGGACCACTGGGCTCAGAGGATTTTAGAAAGTGCTATAGGAAGTACAAACAGACCAGCTTGTATTCCCTAAGCTTTTAACTTAGGGGAAAAAAAAAGAAAAGAAGCATTTAACTGGAAGTCAAACATTTGCATATGACTGTAGACAAACCTTTCAAAGCTATGTCATTTTCTAGCCTGCAAAAATACAGCCTTCATGGGAGAATATGAAGTTTAAGAGCCCTGATTTGCTAGATGCTCTACATACAATTTCTGAGCTCCTGAAATAAGGGGTCTTTCTATCTTTTGCTGTATTTGAACAACAGGAAAGAAGCTAAAAGCATACATAAAAGCACTATTTGTTTTAGGGTGGATTAAAAGCCGTTGTTTGGACAGATGCTTTTCAAATGATTGTCATGGTGGTTGGCTTCACAACAGTTTTGATTCGAGGAACGACTCTGAATGGCGGATCAACCAAGGTCTGGGAGGTTGCCTATGAAGGATCACGATTAAACATATTTGAGTAAGAAAAACACAGTGCAAACCTTTTCTTTTTTGCATATTTAACATTTAGAAATTATACCCTCACGAAGTCAGAAAGAGTCAGTCTTGTTACTATATTATCAGTGAACAATCTCAGTAATTCAGAAAAGTCCATTCCCTACTTCTTTGATTCTTGGAAATGCAGTTGACCATCAGAAGAACTTAACTCCTCTTTCTATTACCCTCTTTGATGAAATCAAAGCCCTCCTGAACTGAAAAGGAGCTTTGACATTTTTCTTTGTGTAGCTACAAATGCAGCCCAATTATTCCTTCCAATTATATGTCTTTCAATTTCTATTCATAAATCTGGGACTTCGTGTTAAGTACGCTCACCACAGCAGCCAGCAATGGTGCACCACTGCACTGGGATAGAAAACTGACCTTCCTTTAGCTATTTGTGGCATTGACTGAAAAGTTCATTGCTCAAGGCAAGTCACTGACAGAACATAGCAGCAAGGTCAAATGTTATCTGCTATATCTATCAAGATTAGCAGAATTGCAAAGATGACAGATGTAAGATGTACTTCTACTGCTTAGAATTACTGAGTAATGAAATTTCACTGTTGATAAAAAATAGATAACACTGCAGCTACAGCAATTTCTCGTAAAGGAAATGACACATCATGGTGATTTAACTAGGAATTTGGAGGACTTATACAATTTAGCAAGTGGTTTTGTTTCTTGCAGAGGACAGGGTCCCAGGCAGGATGGCTTGCAGGTCTGTTGATCCAGTGTGACACAGATCTGAAATCTGAGCATAAGCAGCCTTATAAATGTGATTTATCTCAATCATTCTATCCTCTGCATGATATATGTTTATCTTGACTTCATAGCAACATGTTCCAATATAAGAGTAAAAAAACTTCCAAACTTAACCACAGTAGACATTTTCTGCGTTTGATACATACTACTGATGCAGTACTCCCAATTCAGAGGGTAGGACATGGTGGATAGTTCTGAAAAATCACCTGCCTCTTGCTAAAGAAATGTGTGTTTATGTAAGTGAACTGAGTTGCTTTTTTTCTCTTTTAGCTTTGATGTCGATCCCTTGAGACGACATACCTTCTGGACAATTGTTATTGGGGGAACATTTACATGGCTAGGGCTCTATGGAGTTAATCAGTCCACAATCCAGAGATGCATTTCTTGCAAATCAGAAAAGCATGCTAAACTGTAAGTTACCTGCCATTAACCTGTTCTAGCAATCAAACCTACTGATGTGGAAGTCTAAGCTTGTCAGGTTTGTCAAAAAATAGCTATTTTTGCTCTGACAGTCTCATTCCCTCTGGCCCTGAATGACATAAGTAAATGCAGAAATAAAACCAGGTAGCCATTAACCTCTTGCAGTTTACTACTTTGGGGTCAGGCTGCAAAATTAATCCTTGGAAGCAGAGTATGGAAAAATGCTAACACAGAAGCTGTGCTGTCTGCAACTTCATTGGTAAAATGTATTTATTAGAATTGTGGCTTTGCTGTCTTGTATTAAAAGTGGTTAATGATTCAATAGAGCACTACAGTACAAGGTATTATTTAAATAAAATTAAATCAGTAAGTTATTAATGCTCTAGAGCATAAGAATAATTAGAGTCAATGGTAAAGAGCCAAGTGAAACTTCAGAATATAGACACACAGGTCTTCCTCAAAATCAGCATTAGTATATGCATAGCTAGATACCAAACCACCAGACTTTCTTTTCCACATGCCTAGCAGTAGTTGCTTGCCCAGTTGGCTAAAGCATAAAGATTGGTAGGTTAGCTTTTGTGCTAGCTGCAATCATACTCATTTTTCTTAAGGTCATGCTGGATTATATAAATTTATCCTGTAGAAAATTTAGTCTTTGAAATACAGCAGTGAGAGCATCACTAGCAACAAGTTCTGAAAAGAACTTCAGGTCCCAGTAGCACAGCTGTGAATTGGCCCTAGCAAGAGGCCTTGCATAAGGTAATGCCCAAATACAATGCAGGTTATGTAAAACCTGCCAGCTTTTGGGAGCTACAGGATTACTGAACCACAGCCACGCAGGCTCCACAGCAGATGCTGTCACTCACACCCATTCCATGGACTAGTGAAAAACAACCAAGTGTGTTACTTTGCATGGCAACTTTGCAATCATGACAGAATGCCTACAATGGCTTAAAAGGAGATGTTCAGGGCTTTAAGTCCAGCTGGCAACTAAACATCACTCCGTCACTTGCTCACTACTCACTTCTTCTCCCTGGTGGGATGTGGAGAAGTGAAAGGGAAAAAAAGGTAAAACCCTTTGGGTTGACTTAAAAGCAGTTTAATAATTAAAATAAGGTAAGATTTTATTATAAGGAAATAGAGAGGAATGAAACAAACCAACCAATCCAAATGATGCACAACACAATTGATCATCACCAGCTGACTGATGCCCAGCCCAACCCCAAGCACTAAGACAGGAGAAAACCAACAACTCACAACAGACAAAAATCTGCTCTTACAGGGGACAGAAGGGGCAGACCCAGTGCTTGGTGCTGCCCACTCTGTGTCCAAGTTACTGGTCTCTTCCAGCTGTATACCCTGAGCCTTCATCCTTGCCCTATAGCAAGGCTGTATGTTTTCACATTTTTTAAATCAGTATTCCATACAATTTATTAACCTGCTGATGCCTTTAAGAAATAAAAAATAGTTAGCTTTGAATTATACAGCTAGCTGTGATTAAGGTGTCTCCCTAAAAACTTAGAAAAAACCTAACTTGTAACAGTGTTTCTATATGCATTTTGTATCAAACAGAATTTCTCTGCTTTGTTATAGGGCACTTTACCTCAACTTACTGGGACTGTGGACAGTCCTGGTGTGTGCAGTGTTTTGTGGCTTGGTGATGTACTCTCATTACAAGAGCTGTGACCCTTGGACTGCTGAGTTCATTTCAGCACCTGATCAGGTACAGATACCCATTATTATAACAGAGCTGCTTAGGACCCAGATGTAGCACACATGAAGACAATTAAGATTTCCTGGGGTGCTTTATGTCCTGCCAGCACTCAGACACAAAGGTGGCTGGTGAATCAGGGCTAGAATAGATCTTTTCTGGTTCTCCTTGTTCTCTTTTCTGGTTCTCCTGTGCTACCCTGACTGAGCACTTCCTCGAACAACATCCTCTTAAATTCTGACACCTCTTGTTAGTTGGAATAAACCCAGAATTTAGCAACATGCTCCACAGCAACTACTTCTTTTCCATTACCCAGGAAAATCTTAACTAACTGCTTGTGTTACTCTTGTGCTTCTTCTACCACAGCTCATGCCGTATTTTGTTATGGACATTTTTTCCTCGATGCCAGGAGTCCCAGGACTGTTTGTTGCTTGTGCATTCAGTGGAACGCTAAGGTCTGTGGTCCTGAAGTGACAGTTTAGCTGCATACAATTGATTTCTTGAAGACACAGAATGAGGTTAGGACATGAAATCCAAAGAAAAGCCCAGCTGTTTTACCCAGAACATTCTAGGAAGCAGCAGTAGTGATTTGCTGATTTGTATTATATTTATGCCAAAGTCTAGCTCAACTTTGCCAGCATCTTTTTATCCCAAGTATGTTTTAGAATAACATTACCAATACAGACAGCAGAACAGAAAACCTAAGCTCGCTTTCTGAGATACCTGTGGAGCTGCCTCTGGTGAAATTGCCTTTACTGAACCTAACTGCCACCATACCCCAGATAGGGATGCTTTGCTTTTCAGTAAGTCTATTTGTACATAAAGCAGAGTTAGACGAGGAAAAAGAGAAGTCTGCATGGAGAACTTTTAAAACTTCTTTAGAACTTCAGAATCTACAGGAGTGCTGCATCTTATTGTAGTTTTTACCCTCTACGGGCCAAACATCAATACTTCATAGGGCGTTTGAGAGAAAGGAGTCAAGCTCACAGTGGTTGCATGTGAATAATGTCAACCTCCAACAGACTTTTTCTAAGGACTCTTATGTGTAGAAAAAGCAAGACAGACCTATCAAAAGAGGGGAAGGGGAAAAATGCCATCAAAAATCCCTGTGTAAAAGGCACTGGCTTCTCCTGGCAGGAGACTAAGAACAGAGTCGAGGGCACAAAGTATCAGATACCATGCTGTAGGTATGGACCTTGCCATGTTATCAAAACAAATTCACAGAGACTGTATTCACCAAATATGTGTTCACTCATCTACCTAAAAGAACCAGCTTATATTTTTCAGTTCTGAGAGAAAACACCCTGTTCCTCCACAAAATGCCTGTTATTCCTAGTTGTCACTGCACATCCTTTCATTTGTAAGTGAGTAGAACTTTTATTCTGGAGCATGCTTGTATTTCGAAGGACTTGCAGATTGGCAAACTGAAGGGTCAGTCAGGATGAGTTTCTATCTTCTGTGCCAGCATGAAACAGAGCCCCTTGCAATCCCAGAAGGGACAGAAACCTCATCAACATCAGTAGCATTTATGAAAAATACTGTGAGATGTACAGTTCTTGAAGAGTATCAGTGCTGAACAAGAGGAAGCAGCTTTTTATAAATACATACTGTTTATTATTTACTTAACATTCTTCTAACTTTCTACAGCACGGTAGCTGCCAGCATCAATGCTTTAGCAACTGTTACCTTTGAAGACTTGGTCAAGAAAGGTTTCCCAAATCTCTCCGAGAGGATGAGCACGTGGATCAGCAAAGGTTTATGTAGGTACTCTAGATGGGATCCATTTCTTTAATACCAAAAGCATCCATACCCACAGCTGCTACTATTGTAGGAGAAAATAGGTCAGGATTTTATATACTTTGAGCCTTGAGAGTAGCTGACTCTCAGTTGGCTCTGAAAGCAGCTCTGCACGTAATGAAGGGCATTGCCTAGAGACTCTTCTTCAGAAACACACTTGTGATTTAGAAAGATCAGCCTGGTGTGTCAATAAAATTATGCATTGGCACTATATGGTACAGAAACAAATATCGACTAGCATCAACTGAAAACCTCTGCAAAACTTGTTTCTACTGAAAATATTGGGGAACACTCTGGGATCTTCTTTACAACACAAGAGCAATATCAGTGTAGGTTTTTGTCACATTAATCTATAGTAACATTAAGAAATATTTTTAGTAGGCAAATAAGACATTTCTATTCAGTGTTGCATAAGCAGGTTGTTCAGCTTTTCAGAGAGAAAACAAAATTTATAAGAGAAATGAAAAACAGGTCATTAACATCAAAGTGGTTTGAATTTTAAGATACTTGTAAGAATTATTGCAGTAATATTATAACCCTTTCATAAGTACTGTAATAATACCATAACCATTTATTGATGTTAGTAACGGTCAAATAGGAGCCAACCCAATACAATTTCTTTTCTGCAAATGTCTCTAAATTTCACTATTCCTGCTTTTCCTCTTATTACTTAGCTTTTGCTCTCAGGACCTAGAAAGACAATGTTTATATCTGAAGCCAAGGTGTGTTAGCACATTAGGCAAGTTTCGGTTGGCTTTACTCAAGACTGATACATACAGAGTTTTGACTCCCAGGAAATTAAAACTGTGTTATCATTGCTCAATTCATTTATTAGGTTATTCTAAAAGTGTTACTTAAAGGCAACAGAAACCTTTCTACATCAGGCATAACTTCTAACTTAATTTCATCACTAATTTCTGCTTCATCAGAAAAAAACAAATAATGAAAAACACAACAAAACTTCACGCAAAACGCCGCTGTGTGCTTAATTGTCCACTTCAAGTGTCAAAGCCCAAAGTGCAAGTTTCTGCTTACTGCCGGGTCACTTCAGACACTAAATGAATTATAAATCATCCACTCTATTAACCAGCACTGACAACCTCACTGCTTCATCTTTTTCAGGTGTATTATACGGTGGCCTGTGCACTTCGATGGCTGCAGCAGCATCTCTGCTAGGAGGAGTTGTGCAGGTATCTCTTGCCTCAGAAACACCATGGGCTGAACACGAACAAACAGAAAGGCAACAAACTGACCAAATAATGCTGACAGCCCTGGGGACTCCTGGATTATCTGAACAATTTCTGTGTACACTTTGCTGAGAGGAATAACTAGGGGGGAAAAAAAATCATAAATCCCCTAATTTCTTCACTGTTTACCCACTCCTGGGAAATGATACTGTAATGCCATCCTCAACTGTGCACTGAAATCACTGCTCGTCTCTTCACCCCCACCATTTCACAGACCGAAAGCAGAACTGCTCATGCTCCCTCCAGATGTTGCACTAAGCTTCTGTCTCTTCTCTGCATCACCAGGCTTCCCTCTCCATCCATGGGATGTGTGGTGGGCCCATGTTGGGATTATTTACCCTGGGAATTGTGTTTCCTTGTGCTAACTGGAAGGTAAGGAAAAAAAGTCCTGCTCTAAAGAAAACCTCTTGGTGTTGTTTGCTTAAAGCTCCATCTTGAAAATTGTTTGGCTTATTTAGATTTAGTCTTTGGGCTGCTTTTCAGATTTAGAGCCTAAGGAGTTAAGATGTGCTTAGAGGTCCCTTTTCACTGCTGAACTTATCCCAGTTGAATTCAACTCTACCCAGCTGTGGAGTAATTGCTGATTAGATCCACATGAGGGTTGGGTTTTTTTGTTTGTTCGTTTTCTAATTATTTTTATTTCTGAGTTTCTTCTCTTTCATTAAGAAGACAAAGATATTTAGTACTTGCCCCAGCCTATATTCACCTTGGGATGCACAGAACAATTTCAATTGCTCTGCCTTTGCTAACTGAAGCAAAACACAATTATGAACTCACTTCATATTGCCCCTTGAGCAGCCCAATCCCATTTACCCAGCAGCAAAACTAAACTCTGAGTTGCAGTTTTGATCATCAGTTTTGCTTGAACTCCTATTACTAGAGCACAATAAATCACTCTGGTTTATACCTTGGTTGAGAGAAAATAGGACTGATTTATACTGACAGAGATCAGTGATCACCTATTCCTCCTTAATTCACGTTCACAGAGAAGCCTTTCCCATGCACCACTTTTAACACGATCTTTCTATACCTTCCAAGGGTGCTATGGGAGGCCTCCTAGCTGGGATTACTGTAGCTTTTTGGGTCGGTACTGGCGCTTTCATTTACCCTGCTCCACCAACAAAGTCCATTCCTCTGCAACTGTCGACTCTCAACTGCACATTAGCTAACAGCACCGAGGCACTGATGACAGCAGCAGCTCCCACAGCAGCTCTAGACAGGTATTTTCCCTATAATTACAACCTAAACCTGTGTTTTAGCACAGCATGCAGCCTGAGCCTGCAGTGCACTGCCAGTAAACACCAAATGGGATGGGAGCACACTGCCAGATCATATACCAGCTGCGGTGTTAGCTGTATTTTTCTGCCATATTTGAGACATCTTAAATGTACCCACTGGTCATCACTAGCTGCTTTTGTCACCTCTTCACAGACCTCTGCTGGCAGACACCTGGTACTCCCTGTCCTACCTGTACTTCAGTGCCATAGGCTGCCTAGGCTGTGCCATCACAGGGCTGCTGATAAGCTTTATAACAGGTCGGTATTTGATCTATATATGCATATATAAATGCTTTTACACAATAATCTGACTCAGCTGTTACAAGAGTTCTAAAAAAGCCCAGCAAGCAGCTTGGGAGAGGCTCAGGAGAGGGCAGTGGGCTCCAGTCCTGCTCCACCCCACCTCATGGTCTGAGACACCCAGCTATCCATACGTTTATGTATAATTCTTTTTTCCTTTCAGGACCCAACAAAGGAGAAGATATCCCACCAGTGTTAATCCAACCAGTTTGCAACCTGTTTTGCTTTTGGTCCGACAGACTCAAAGCTCTGCTCTGGTGTGGTGTGCGGCACGACAGCCAGGAGGTGAGTACCTGAGCCCACAGCTCAGCCCTGCCATGGCACTGGTGCCACAGGTGTACATGAGGTAGGCACCACACGAAGAGCATGCCAGCCTCCATCAACCCCTCTGTAAAGTTATGCAAGGGATGCTGCATAGGATCACAGACTGGAAATGAGATCAGCCAAGCCCTAAACAGTGCTGGGCAGCAATAAGTTACCAATCTCCCCTGTCTACACAGCACATGGGCTGTGGAGACAAACAGCCCTTGGGACAGCTAGCAGCCCATGGAATGGTGGCTGAACTCCTGCTCCCTGCCTGCCTTGCTCTACCAGCCAAACAGGGACAACACTGCACTTTGCACCCTGAGAGCAGTTCACTGAGCTCCTGCCCCTCCCACCGAGCCAGAGAATAAAACTTGAGCGCTCTCCTGCTGATACTGCCATTGCCACCTTCAGACCTGGCAGGGCTTCTTCCTTCCAGGGCAGCACTACTGGCCCATCAGCTGCAACCACCAGCACCTGAGGGGCTGTGGCCCACCACCTCCACAGACACAGGACCAACTCTTCCACAGGTGTCTCTGGGCTTCATGAGCCATGCAGCATGAGCATCTCCTCCTCTTGTGCTGCTGTAACAGTACCAACCCCCTGCCACGGGCAGGGTCACCTTCTGCTAGGCCAGGTTGCTCCAAACCCCATCCAAGCTGGCCTTGAACACTGCCAGGGATGGGGCAGCCACAGCTTCTCTAGGCAACCTGTGCCAGCGCCTCACCACCCTCACAGGGAAGAACTTCTGCCTAAGATCTCATCTCAACCTCCCCTCTGTCAGTTTAAAGCTTTGTCCTATAACTACAGAAAACAGTATGAATGTTTTCAAGTCCTTTAGAGTACCCTTTAAATCCTGAAAGTAACTTTTCAGCTGCAAGGCTCACATAGAAACTATCCTTCCAGGCAGCTTAAGTTTGGCATTAAAGCTGATGGCTTCATTTGGACAGCAGCTGTGATGCCTCTAGATTTGCCTCAGCTGTTTCACTTGGCTTTTAGGTGCTCAACATAACTTCATCTAGAACTTTCCTGAAGCAAAAGCTAAAATCTCAGTAAAAGCAAAATCACATATGCATTTATTGGCTTGTATTTGCTTAAAATGTAGAATACTGTTAATCAAGTATTTACAGTGTGAAACCACTGAGGCAAGTGTAGGCCAATCCACTAAAATGCACATAAAAATGCAAATGAAAATCTAAATTTAAGTGTTCAGGAATGCACTGAGGGCACATTTAAAGACTTTCATATGAACAGAGTTGTTATGAGAAGTTGGTTTTGTGGCTTTTGCCAAAGACTTTCCATGGGGAAATGAGAAAATCAATGGTTATGTATGGAGGGGACACACACTGAAGAGTGCCTGTTTGTGGGTATGAGACTCATTTTATGTAGTGAAGTAACTCCTCAGATTTATAGGAAAGGATGTCAGAATTTCAAACTGCAACAAGACAGCCTTTAGCCAAAGGAAAAAAGCCATGAATCCAGACTTCAAACTACTGAGGTATTGTTTTTGCTTTGTCTTTTTCAGGTGGGCTTGGAAAAAAATCTGCCTAAAGTTACTGCAAATCAAACTGGAACTGATGACACCTTCAAGAATAGTACTGACAAAGAAAACAAATGCCAGTTCCCTGGTTACAATCCCAAGGAAAAATCCTATACCAATATGAGCAGAGAATCTCGCCTCTAGAAGCTGAGAGACAAGGGACATTTAATCAAACTCGATGTCTTCAGCTTTAGAAATGAAGAGGTTTGAGGTTTTCTTATCACATTTACCAGCTTGCAGATGACCAAGAGGGATGAATTGCTCTCTATAGCAATTAAGGTTAGATTTTTATTTATGAATTTCATGACAGACCTGAGAAATCATCGGACAGTGGGGTTTTGGAGGCACTGCTACTTCAGAGGAAATGCTTCATGAATCTTGTTGTGGAAGCTCCTCCTTGGAAGTAGCTGCAATACATCTGTATCCCATGCTCCATTCAGTAACCAGTCGTTGAAGGGAAACTTGCAAAGGGGAACTTGAGATAAATTAAAATTTTAGAGTAGCTTCTGAGGTCTCTCACTAAGGTGAGGCTGTGAACTGCCCTCTGAGGGAGGGGAAAGAAGGGAGGTCAGGCTGAGATAGTATCTGCCTATTTCTAGGTGTCACAAAAGGCCTCCTCGCAGGGATATTGTATAGACCAGACTGGTCTTTCAGCGACCGAGTTGTGTTTGCTTCCTCTGTGGAACTCAGATTTCTTTGTAACGTCTTACTGTAAAACCTACAGGAGAGAGTAACAAATTTGACTTCAAATGTGGGATAGTTCTTTATCCATGTTAGTCTTGGAAAGACATCCTTTCAGTTCAGAAAGCTCCCTACACCACCTCTATGCAAGAAAGAAAATAAAATGACAGTTGATGATGATGCCTCCTGATTGAAAGTATTGAATTTTGAAAAAAATACACACAATTGTGCAAAATCAGTGGTCTGATAAACCATCTTGGAAGGAGGTACGTAGCCCACTAAGACTCTGTTCCAGTGAGAGATTTTCTCTAGAACTTGCCTCTGTAAGACAAACTCACCTTGATAAATGTTTGAATGTAGTTTTTTGGATGAATGTTATTTGTGTTCATACAAAGCTTGTAATTCAATGACAACTTAGTTATGGACCCAGCTGATAAATTGAGCTCCTGGATATACTGAGCTCCTGTTGCTTTGAAGAACCCAGCTGTTGCTTTTGCTTTATCAGTGACCATCTTTATGATACAAATCTAGGACAACCTGGTCCTTGAAGTTACTTCCCCCATCTGTTTTCATGCCCTACCTCTGGAAACAGTTTCAGGATGTTCAATTAGAGAACAGAAAGTGCAGTCTGTAAATGACACTGCTGTCCTTGTGTGGGGCAGTTTGTCAGTAAACTGAGAATTAGGTCAATATTTGTGTTCACCCTTTTCACCCCACATTTATAATATCATAAAAATTTTCAGCTGAGTCTGGCTGGCGGCCTGTTGTCTCACATGGCATACTTTCATGCTTCCAGACTCAGTATGGTTAGCAAGGTAAATATAAAAATTCAGTAAATGCTATTGTATCATTTATATCTCATGGCCACACACATTATTGGTTATATTAGATTAGGAGAGGCTAACTATCGTGTTTAAAGATGTGAAAGAATTCTGGAGTAAAAGTGGTTCAAAACAACCATTGTGAAGCTACATAGCTGGCCAGTGGATGAAAAAGCCCTCTGTACTGGTATAGTTGGTGGATATCTGATGCAGAAACCTCTACCTGTGAAAACAACCAAGTCTGCTCTAAATATTTCTCAAGGCACTTACTCATTGCAGTATTATTATGCTCTGCATGCTGTATTTTTTCACAAGTTTAGCATTTTCACAAATTTAACATTGGATTCACTGCAGATTTTTTGTCCTTTCCCAGAAGAGTATTCTCCGAATCAGCTAGAACTGCATTCTCTCAAAACATTTTTGAAGAAACATCCTCGAGAATTTCTCTTTAACTTCATGTTTCTGAGATAGTTTTTTTCAACTAAAGCTGCTCATCAAGCACAAGTGATTCCTGTATTTGTAAAGGAGCCAGGCATTCCAAGCGTTTTACTAAATCCTACATGTATAATTAATGTATGACAGCTAAAATCATTAATTGCTAGTTCAGTCTTCTACCAAGATACAAAGATGTGGCCTACCAAAACTGGAATACAGAAAAATTACCATCCTGCTTAAATATTCACACCGGTGTTGTTTACAGTTATCTTCTTCTCATTTCATTTACACCCTGAGCCACTGATCCTTCCAGAGAAGAGCTAGCCTGTTGAGCTGAAAAAATGAGATTATGAGGAACACGTAAATTCTAAAAGAGGAGCTTATATTTAAAAAATTGCTAGTCACTAGTGAAAGCCATAGACCAGAAATCACTGAAAATTTGAAAAGTGAGTCTATATGTGAGTCTAAATATAGTATGTAATTGCTAAAAGTTAAAGGTGTCTGAGCCAAGTTTAGCCCTTAAATTCCTTACACTACTATGGTTTGAAGACTCATGAGCACTCCCTTTTCAAGTGTATCCTTTTTTTTTTTTTTTAAATTAACTTTGAATATTTGGAATAATGAAGCTTAAAAACCTCTTTCAAAGATATCCAAGTTTATTACTGAAAAAATGCAATATTCAAATGTGTATGATACAGTAAGTAGTTGCATTTGTACATGTAAACCTTGGTAAAGTAAACAGCATCTCAAAGACAAATTTATGCCAAAAGTGTCTTACAATAGTTAATCAATCAGATCAACAACTTTTTCCTTGGTGAATTCTTTTAGTTCTGGGGCACACAAGAGCTTGTAAAAGTAATCTTAAAACACAAAAGAAACCAAAAGCTGACATATCAGAGGAACTTCTAGCTTGCGGTGCATAAAAGTCAACCTCTCTGAAACGCTCTGTGGCACTGTAATCTTATTTTAAGTATACTTACAAAGTGCAGATCTATGAATAGAAAAAATAGTTGAGATTTTATTCTTATTCCTTACTTAGAAACCAAGTTGTATTTAAATATTAAATAAGTTTCAAGTATATACACATTTTAAGAAATCTCTTATGATCATGATATTGCAAGTTAACCAGGACTATCCAAGTAAAAAATGACTGAGCTATCTTATTCAGTTAGATTTTACATGATTCCATTTAAGATAACCGAAATTTCAGTGATACTACTCTAGGTAAAAATCAGAGCCAATGGTTTGGAAGATTTTTCAGTACAAAACACTGAGTCATCTAAATAGAACACTAAATTACAAGGTGATCCAAATTTTTTGTCATTATTAACAGAAAAAAACATCGTATTCTCAGTGGTTAGAATCTTGTTAGCTTAGACTACATTTGGTTTGATCGTAATTTCTCCCCCAAATAGCATCCTAACTAGCTCACGCCAATAAGAATGCAAACTACAGAGAACATATAACAGTATAGAGGTTACGGCAACAAGTTAGAACAGAACTTACACAAAGTAATTTCCAGTGCAGTGAGGAGGAAACACGCCATTAACATTCTAAAACTAAATCCTATTCCTGGATTTAAAAGTTCCTGTGTAACATGGAACAGCAAAATGGTATCTCTACAGTTCCTTGTGCTGTTGTAACTTTGTGCTGTCATGGTAACATGGTGCTATCATGATTACACCAAAACCATGCCTGTACAAATTTCTGGTAAATGTGGTTGATAATGTCAGTATTAGAGAAAAAATGTCAATTATGTAGATTTTAAAATGCTAGGATTATGTAGCGCATTTAGGATGTGTGTGGGTGGGATATAAGAAGTGCAACATATAGCACTTGGGAAGGGGCTGAAAGGACAGATCCGGAAATGGGTAGCCTACTGGCACACTTCGGTAGACCCTGTGCTTCCTCCTACCACTCCATCCAGTGCATACCAGAGCACCAGACAAACTAGCATTTGTGCACTTTCTGCTTTGGCATCTCAGTTAGGGACATCCAAAAAGAGCCTGCAAAAACCTTCTGCAGTTACAGAATTGCCCTGGAAACTGGACTGTCAGCAAGAAGGCATCACTTATTAAAATACTGAGTATAAGTAAAGAGTGAGAAAAAGAGAAAGATTTAGGAGGATTGTCGTCATGCTCCATCTTCAAACCCTTGTTTTGCAGAACCTGCCAGAGTTCTGGAGAAAAACATGCTGAAGTGCAGAGGAGTCCTTTGCTTCCTCTGCTCCTCCTCAGCCTCCACACGCTGGCTTGTTGCATTTTATCTCAGCAGAACATGTGCATGAGGTTGACTATGAAAAGACTGAGGGATCTTTAAAAGCTACTAACTTTTCCACCACAAGAATTTAGGTTTGTAATTCATTTAAACACTTTCCAAAAGTGTCATTGCATGCATTTTAGACAAAGTATGCATTTGAACTGACAAAAAAAAAAAGCACAACAAAAGTGTGTAAATGTGGAATTCTGTTTGAATTCTAGTGTCAGCATTAACACCAAATAAACATGATTACAAAAGGCTGGCTATGTATTTGTTTTAACCTTTACCCCAAATAAGCAACATCAGTAGTCTATGAGGATTATGAAAAATAAAATGCTTCTGGAAATATTACTGTATTGTAAGTGATTGTTGATGTCACTGTTCCCTTTCTCCTGTGCAACACTTAACAGAAAATGCAATTGTCTGATTTTCCATTAACCCTATTGACTTTATATTTAGCTGTTTGTCCTGGGTTCAGCTTAAAACATGAAACTGTTTGTATAAAATAAGTTTTATTGATATGGCCATTGCCAGTGTATATAAAAGTCCCTAGCTTTTACCAGTTTTAATGAAAATTTGTGACACTTTCAAGTTATCTATATACTAACCTTTTCAGTTTCTTTTCAATTTATGGACACGGATGATCTTTAGTTAATCAAAACTATATGATGCTTCTAAATATATATGTATTAATTTGGCCATGAATGAACTGAGACATAATACAAAAAATTAATAAAGCCCATTATGCCATGTAGGAGTTCACAGTCCTACACAGCATCAGTGCATTAGAACTTTGCAGTCCTAGTAAGTGCCTGGATCCCATGGCTCCAGAAATTCTCTCTGGCAGCGAACTGGAGGAAGCCACAGCAAGCAAACAGCGCTACTTACTTACAATAGGCTGATCATTAAGTATATTAGGAATAAAATACCACAAAAGTTCTTGCCTTTCCCCCCACTAGCACTCATTCTAAAGCTGTGTTTTCCAACGTACTTTTCCTGCTGAAGAACTTTTCATGAAAAAAACTTCAGAGATTCAGGAATTTACACATTAAGGTAGCCATTAACCTATTATCACTATGCCCCTCAGACATTTTTTCTTTTGAGCTTTTCACAGGACAGAATGAGTCAAACTGATCCTCAGAAAACAATTTAAGACAAGTTGGTGTTGGAGAAGGGCATAAAAACAGCTGATGGGTGTTTTCTACAACTTAAGATATGTACTTCCAAAGAAACATTAACAAAATAACCACTTATCATCCACCATCACCATGGAAATTTTAGCCTTGTCATCATTAATATTAGCTTCCATGTTCACCTACATTTTCTCTATAAATTCTTTAACAAAAAGGGTTAGGAAAGAAAAATTGAAAAGTGAACATCACGTCATTTGCCTTGTTTCCAAATATTAGTACTCTGTCATGATGCTCAAACACTGTACTCCGTTTCTGGTAAGGAAACTGGATTACAGTATAACAAGTTGAGAGCCTGTGCTCAATCTTCAGACAATTCTGTTAGTACTCAGTTGTGAATACTGAGTTCTTCATGCCTCCACCTATACAGAGACAGACATTGAGCTCTAAGAAGGAACCTCTCATTAGGATGGCTAATGCAGCAGAATTCTCTTTTTTTACTTTTTTAGTCACCAGAACTCAGATCTCACACATTAGGCACAAATTTAGAATAGTAAGTCATAAGCAATGAGATGTGTATAATATACATGGACTTTTTGTTATTTCTGAGATAGAGATTTCTTCTGTCTGAATCAACACAAAATTTGGTTAGGAATAATTAAGACATTTTGGACTAACCTTTTGTATTTCAAAATATCTAGTTGCTCGTGCATTCTCTCTAAGGGCACATGCATAGAGCAAAGTTGTAACAGATTAGATCTGCAATGACCTAAAGCATTTTTTGCACAAACTGAAGTTCTAAAGCTTTGTCAGATTTCACAAATGCAGCTTGCATGCACAGTCTATTCATACTGGTCATTTGTTTGGAAAGACAATATTTAGCATCTGAAAAGATCATTCACCATTCATAAAATACATTATTCCTGAGGACAGAGTGTGCTTTATACTTCAGTAAAATAACGTGCAGTCAATGCAAACAGCATACTAAACAAAGTCTAGCAAAAAGATTTCTCAGCTTAAGCAAATAGCTAGAGTGGCAAAACCTTCAGACATTGCTGATGTCCTCAAAAAATAAAACAACACACACAGTGTTTCTCCAGAACTTCCTGTGCTTCTCCAGTACCTAAAATGTACAATGTCAGATCTACATACTTGCCTTTGAAATACTCCTACATACCAGTGTTGAAAATCATTAATAACATATATATTTAAAACCCAATTACAAAAAGGATGTCTTTCCTATGTGTTTTTTAAGTCCAATTGGAATTTGCCTAAGTATGTACTGACATGTGCTAATATCCACAGCAAAACCAGGGAAGTATAAAATAGTATTTCTGATTTTTGCCTGATTTTATCCTGTATATTTATACCTTGGGCCAGCCAAAGCATTTTGTTTTTAGAGAAAACATTAAAAAAAGACAGCTCATCTGTGACCTGCTGAAGATCTGAAGTACTATTACTACGTGGCACAGAAACAGAAGCTGTGACACGTTAATGCTGTCAAACGGTGCTTGATAATCTACAGAATGAAAAAGACAAGAGAACCTGTGTGATTCTATAAGCACTGAGGGGAGTGCATTAATTATTTCTGATAAGGACTCCTGAGGAACTTAACACACAATCCAGAATATGAAGGAACAAAACAGCCTTTCCAAAATATGGGAAGTGAGTTCCACCAGTCCTTTATCACAGAACTAAAACCTAATATATCTGGATAGACCAGACCTTCAAATTTCTTTCCTCCTTTGTGCAGTACTGCAGATACTCCTACAGTTGCGTTGTCTGGTCACAGAGAGCTGGAATTAACCCTGAAATCTCATGAATATAGTGAAATGGCTTAAGAATTTAAGGTCTCATGCTATGCCCTCTGGATACAACATATCTTACTTATCTGCTCTGATATGCTCTTGACTCTAAAAATTAATTTTATATGCATAATAAAATGATTGTGCTAATACAGTCACGTGAATACTGGAATCACACTTTTTGATTCAGTAGGGTTCTGTAAGTAGTAAAAATTCAGGTCTTTTCATATCTGTCAGCAGTGATTTTGCTGCAGCTTCATCCCTAAAAATAAAGTTAAAATGTGCAGCCTTTATAGCTACTGTGCTTTGCTGACTCTTTGTTTTTGTAATTTTTCTTCATCCAATATAGAGAAGCATTATTTAGAATTATACAAGAGAAACAGAATGACTGGAACTCTCTTTCTCCATGCCCTTCTCTGCAAGATAACCCTACACACTTGCTCACATTGTTTAAATTATGTGCTGCTCTTTTCCCATATTATGAAACATTGGCAACAGGCAATTTCATTACCAAAATGTGACTATAACCATAAGCAACATTGCTGTATGCACATAAAACTTGAAATTTGATTCTTTATATGAACATCTACCTTCTAGAGTGATTTTTATCAAAAAAGCCCCCCTCCCCAAACTGTAAGAAGGCATACAAATAATAATTAAAAAATCTAAAAGTAACCACTGTGTGCATGTGTGCATTTATATACAACCTGTATACATGTCTGCCTGTATCTAAGTCCCATGATTTGACATATTTATTCCAATAGAAGTAGTGCACATTACTGGGGCATTTACATTTACAGTAAGAAGAGGAGCATTGTTATAAAATGCTCTGCTTCTCCTTCCCTGAACAAGCCAATCAATGTTATACTATGTGCCTGATATATATCTGCATAAGCTTGCATACTAGAAAGATATTCATATATTGAGGACAAAGTCATTTGCACAGTTATGAGAACATCTCAAGTTAGCATTCTGTGAAGTCATGGAATCATTGCCCAGACAGGCCAAAACGAACAGTAACACAGACTTTTGCATGCTACACCAGAGCAAGAAAATGACAAATCTTTCATCCTGGAAGCATGTGGAGGTGGCCTTTCTGCACACAAAAGTGAAAGGCAATTGAACAGCCATATCATTTTCAAACAGAGCTGCAATGTGGGCAATGCAATGTGTTCTCTCAGTGCTGATGTTTCCTCTTTGAATTTACAGTTTTTGGTTTTCAAATAGAAGGATAAATTAATGACACTGACATGTGCAAGTCTTAAACTGCATAGTATATATTAAGCAGCCACAGACCCCTTTTTTTAGGGTAGGACCACATCCACAATCTCAACAAGAGACTAGGACAAACCTGACAGAACAGTAAGCTTGAAAGATCATTTATATTAAGCTATGGCCACAAAGGCAACAATTGCTCTTTTCTTCAGAGGCATTACAGATGGAGCTGATCAATCAGAAGCTAGGTGGAGCTGAGCAATCAGAAGTAGTGGATATCAGGTAAGTTTGTTTTAGTCATGCCCTTACTGTGTAAGTTGACTGGTAATTTTCTCTTTCCATTTTGCTGTTAGTATCTTCACAAACAGCATGAAAATTCATTGTCTTTTTTTAAATTATGGTGTCCAAATTTTTTATCTGTCTGCGCATTCCTGAGTGCCAATTCTGACCAGAGTTGCCAATTCACTGCAGATCCGTCACAGGTAAGGCTTTTCATTTCGTTCATCAGAAGCATCTGTGTTCCAGTTGCCACCAAAGCCTGCAACTGTCCTGCTCAGGAAGAACATATATACACTATATATCTCATGCACTGATGCCGGACTCTGACTTCATTTTGTAACTGCACTCTTCAATTTCCAAACGGCGTTTTTGTTGCAGCATGGTAGTGACTAAGGCCATTCATGGTGATATTGTTTCCCATTCTTTTTCCTTTCTCTCTGCAAATGCTCCAGTTCAGCTTCATACATCATTTCCTGGACTAAGTATTTCTCTCTCCTCATTCTGTCACACAAGTCTTTAGGCATGTCTGGAATCAGGTAGGCAATGAAAGACTTTATTCCAAAAACAAGGTGCTGAAAATAAGAATGAAAAGAATTGCTTCAAAGGTGCATAAATGTTCACTTCTAATATCCACATTTTAGAGCTTAAAAGCTTGTGGCAAAACTGGAATTGAGGTTTAATTCATAACCAAAAATCAACTCATTTGTTTTTTAAATATACTAACTATATAGTTTTACAGAAATGTGAAAATGCTGAAGTCTTCTGAAAAGAAAAGCTTTAGTGACCTAAATGAAGACGTGACTGCAGGATATGCTAGTCTGAATAACAATCGCTAACACTGCCTACAAGCAGTCTTTGTTAAGAGCCTGTAATCAAAGTAACCAGACTCCTGGACAGCCTGTAATACATTCTTCAAAGTTAGCACACACATTTCTATTTTTACATTAAGCCAGAATCATGTACATTTCCCTGACATAGATTTTAATTGGTAATAACTGTGCTTTCTTTTTCGATAAAACACGGAAGATTTGATTCAGAACTGACCTGATGTATGACTCAAGGAAACACAGTTTTGGAGGGAATCTAAAAATCTCTGTGTGCTATGTCAGTTCAGTCTGACTGACAACAGCTTGGGGAAGGTGATTTTTTTCCCCTTTCTCCTGACTGCAATGAACAAGAAGCTAATGATGCTGACAATTTCTTTTATGGGACTACTGTAAAAAAAAGTAAAAATAAAAAATAAAAAAAAAGTCAAGAGTTTAAAGAGGTAGAAAGGAATTGTTCCTTCTCATGACTAACCTCAAATACTATGATGAAGGCCAGACGTGCTGCCAGGACATGCCAGAACTGTAAAGTGAATTCATATGGAGTTGAACTCCATGGTGGGGCTCTGTAATCTCTATACCTGGAAAGCAAATCAAAACTCAGTGAGCTAGTCTGTGCTTGAAAACCTGGACAAGGAGAGAAACTGAAGTGAAAGTGTACTTCAAGAGCAATTAAACAGAAAAAGAGAAGAACAGTCAACAAGACAAACAAATAATAAAGAAATAAATGAAGACAGCACTTTTTTCTTCCAATATTCCAGAGCAAACAGTTTCTTTCATTGTAATAAAGCTGACACCCTGGAGTATTAAGTTCAAGTATGTTGATTCTAAATTGGTTCTTGTCTGCTTCTAAGTGCTTGAGATTCTCCAGACAAAGTTTGCATAAATCTAACATGATTCTAAAACTTCTTAGTCAATTAAAGCTAACCCTCACTGCAAAACTAAATTTGAAACCAGGAGTTCACTCATGCAGTGTTGCATTTATTTTTTTATGCCTAATTTCTCATATATATCTTGCATAATATTTTGGGATCTCTAAAGGGGTTAGAGCCACAAAAAATTTAAATCATGTACTTTAATTAACGGACCTCAGAATGCTTAAGAAAACCAAAATGAGAATTTTTACCCTCTTGGCAACTGGGGAAATTTTGAAGTGAAACAATTCACAGAGGCACAAAAGACAGGGCTTGCAAGAGTCCTAGAAAAACTCAGAACACAGGTTTCCAGTCTGTTAGTACTGCATCCTACCACACAGTGTTTGCACTTGAGACATGGTTCCATGCTGAGCCAACTTGAACTCCAACACTTTTACAAGCAAAAAAGAAACCGTTACACCAGTAATTTACGCACTGACTTCCTGTTTTATGTCTGTATTAACGTCTATGCCTGTATTACAAGAAGGGAGAGCATCAAACATACCGGCAGTATCCTGAGTATCCCATTCCAAGTTCACTCAAATCAAACACTGATAAACTGCTGTTGACATATCCTTTTAAGCATCTGAAAGGAAAAGACACAGGGAGAAGACATTCTTCATGAAGTGGTTATGCAGCACAGATCCTCTATGTAAACAGCCTGCTATCACATGTTGTGAGCGTATACATTTCTTTGCTTATCAGGACAAAATCAATTCTAAAATTTCAAACAGATAAGCAAGGTTTTATTGGAAAGAAACAAGAAATGTGTTTCAGGGATAACACTGTCTAAAAATCCACTTTCAGCACTTTTGATGGTTTTGCTTCTTATCCATCAGCAGACATAAACCGAAAATGGTTGCTACAGTGTTCTCTAATGTCTCAAAATTAGACCAACTGTACTTAGAAAGATGGTGAGAGGCAGAAAGATGAGCTATTAGACACCCTGGCAGAATCTGCCCCAAGTCATGCAGCATATACCAAAAAATGTCAGGTTTTGAGTTAAATCAAAGAATAACTTTCACCAGTAAAATCAACAGTGCATATATACCGAACAGCCATCTTAAAGGCACCAAATTATTAGGATTGATGGCAGAAATGACATAAATGCACTGAATTAGTGAAGAAGAAAAAATTTTGTCTGTTTCTGGAAAACCAGGGACACATAAGACATCCCATCTTCTTGGAAAGCTGACCTGTAGTTTAACAAAGGGCCTTTTGAAAGGCAAAGAACATTAAAAAATAGATGATGCATCAGGGATCCTATTATACTTCCTGAACCTTCAGGTTTGCTGTGACACCTCAAATAACTACTGGCAAAAGAAGAAATAGAATTACATAGTTCTCTATTAAATAGGTAGTGTACATTAAGCACTAACTTTTTTCTGCCATGGTCTTTTCTCATCCTTTCCTCATCCTTTCTGCCCCTAAATTCTCTCCTCCCGGGACAGCACAAGAAGAGTAACTCTCTCTTTCGAATCATTACAGATGGAGCAATAAAGAAAGGATGGACCAACCCCTGTGGTTTGAACTGTGGCATAGTCTGTGAATGCAGAAGTAGTGGCTTGCTGGACAAGCCTCGATCCTTTCACTCTTACCATTCCTCCTGTGCAATAAAGAAGGTAACTTGTGCTTGTGAGATGTGCTATAGCACTAGTGAAGTGATGTTTCCTTTTCTTTAGTTAACCTTGATCCTGTATTAAAAAGACAACAGAACGCTCCAAAACCATGCCCTAAAACCACCTATAGTACACTAGTCCTCAGATAAAAGAGAGGGTGCCCATAAGTACTGTGAGCTGTTTAGATCATGTAAACGGTCATGACAGACAGTGGCAAATGCAGACTGAACACGGTGGACACAGTTCAGAGACACTGGTAAGTTGATGGAAAGAAATGCAGGAAACTGGACTGATGGGGCAAAGACAGGCAAGCTACCTTGCTTGAAGCTAATTAAAAACATATATGGAGTCAGGCTGAATAGTGTCGAGGCTCATCTTGCTGGTGCTTGGCTGCAAGCATTTCTGAAGAGAAACAGGCAGGGAAGTTTGAGGGTGAACAAGTCTTAGGGTAAAAGAGGGTTTAGCATACATGTGTGTGGGAGCATAGTGTTAGCAGAATGATAGAACTATTACAGAAAGGAAGAAAACCTTATCTAGAGAAAGCCTGTAAACTGCTACGATGTGTAGTGGACTTTGTTGTTTGCATTCAGAAGGGAAGACATGATTTTTCACTTACATGTCCATGCAGTTTGTTTGCAAACTCTGTGAAATGGCTGAGTTACACTTGCACTTAGCATCCATAAAGATTTGCACAGATGTAAAAGGTAAAATACTGCTGATATATGTTATATATGTTAACACAGAAAGACAGCTGAAAAAGTGATCTTCCACTGAATTATACATGTATATATAAAGAATATGCTAATTACTTTTCTTGTCTGTACCCTTGATCCGTACAGGGACCATATTTGTATGCATAGACAAAACGTGGAATGTAATCAGAAGTAATGGCAATAACAAAGGCATTGGTGATGACAGCCAGGACTCCAATTCCTTCCAGAATCCCATACCAGATACCTAGAAGCGAGAGAAATAACAAGGAAATCATTAAGTTTTTACAATCATATTAAGTCATACTAATGACACTTAAGCCACTGTTAGTCATATAGTTATCCTATCTTATTGAGAAAGACCTACTCGGTCAGAAAAGGTAATCCAGATTAAGTCATGTCCCCACACCCCTGCCACCACTGACTCCCCCTGAATGAAGTTTTACGGTAGGACACATACTGCTGAGAAGAAATGGCTAAAGCAACAAACGTATAACCACAATTCTTGGTTATAGAGGCCAAATACAAGATGTTGGAAAGAGATTCCTTATTTTTTTAATTCTGTTTTAAACCAGAAGTGAATTTAGTCCTTGTATGTCAAATAGCATTTTGGACCTTGTCCTAGGTTCAGCAGTAGCAGTCATTTTTCTCTTTCTTGGTAGCTGGTGCAGTGCTGTGTTTTGACTTTCAGCTGGGAACAGAGCTGAAAACAATGATGTTTTGGTTTGGCCAAGGCCTTTGTGAGCCTCATGCTCTGCCAGGGAGGAGGGAAAGCCGGGAGGAAGCAGAGACAGAACACCTGACCCAAACTGACCAAAGAGGTATTCCATACCACAGCACGTCATGCCCAGGATGTAACTGGGAGTGACCCAGAAGGGCTAGGGCTGCAGGGTTGGAGGAGGTATCGGTCGGTGCTTGGTCGGGCTGGGGGGGTGAGTTATCGGTCGCCAGGTGATGAGGTGTTGTATTCTCTTCCCTTGTTATTTCCTTTATCATTACTATTATTGGTGGTAGCAGTAGTGATTTGTGTTATACCTTAGTTACTAAACTGTTCTTATCTCAACCTGTGGGAGTTGCATTCTTTCTGATTCTCCTCTCCGTCCCTCCAGGAGTAGGGGGAGGGCAAGAAAGGGGGGGAGTGGGTGAACAAGCTGTCTGGCTGGGGGTATACCACGACAGACCTAAAGTTGCACAAATCAGAAGTGTAAAATACCATTTAGCCTGTTTTCAAAATTCGAACTATTATGATCCCCTTTTGGAAACAAAAAACAAATTCGAGGAGTCCTCTTAGCTAAGCAACTGAGTATTCTTTTGTTGCTTAACAGGAGAGCTGTCACTGAGATCTGTGGGTTACATTATCAGTTTTACTTTTGATGCATGAACTATTTTAAGGGTTAAGCTGCATAAAAGAAGGAAAAAGTCATTAGGTTCTCTCACCTATATCTGTTGCTCTTGCAGGCATAGGTCTTCGCCACTGAGTGACAAACTTGTACGCATCTAACCTTATTTCGATGATATTGTTAAGCAATGCCAGGAGAGGTGCCAGTGGGAAGGCAGCAACGAAGATGGTGGTGAAGCCAAACTGTAAAACTAGACAGGCATTTCTCTGGTTAGAAACTGGAAGTTCAAATGATCTTTTAACATGGAATATAGTTCCATTTTCTTAAGAAAACTGACACCTCCCTAAATTTGCTCACCCATCTCTAAATATTCATCCATTAAACCATGAAGATTCATAGGCTGTAGATTCCAGTCCTTTTCCCACTGAGGCAGAGAAACTTTATGCTCCATTAATTGCCCTCCTCTCTTCATTTTGCGTCGTGACCACCAATTCTGTAATAAACTTTATTAGATAAACAGAGTATTATGATTGACTGTATTTGCTCAATAACTTACAAAACTTGCTGGTATTGTTTTGAAGTAAGAGGGCTTATTTTGAACAGCACCTGAATGCTTACTCAGGTATTTTCTGCAAACACTTATGATATACAATTCAAAGAAGTCCTCAAAATTCTGCATTATGATTTTAATTATGTCTTTCATGTAGCATGCTAGTCATTCAACAAATAAGCCTTTCAGAATATGGTATTTGCTTGCATAGACTTTTTCTGTAGGATTTACCTAAATAAAAAAACAATCATGCTTAGCAAGAGCATTAAACCAGTAAATAATGCTTTGTTTTTAATCCTGGGAAAGACAAACCAAGTAAGTGAATCTCAATAAGAAATCTAGGCTACTGGAATACATTGAACAGTCAAACACATCTACTACTTTGGAACAAACCTGAAGATCTAAATGCTCTACAGATTATTTTTTTCTTGAAGTAAGAAAGTGTGTCTAAAAAGGCGTTGCTGAAGTTGTGAAGATTTAAGATTTTTTTATAAAGCTGTGCAGAAGTCTTTTCACGAAGTATCTATAATATTAAGTAGGTACTAGTCTCACACATTAAAACGTTATACAAATGAAAACTATTACCTAGTACTGTCAGAGGTGGCAATTAAAGACTATTGTTTGTTTCCAGATATTACTGAAAAAAGACTGAAGATGGGGAATAATTTTCTTGTAAGTATTTTTATTAACAGGCTCTTATTTTTTCTCAAGCTAATTTAGGGTTTAGCTCTTAATCTCTCTTGCTCCTGAAAGAGCAACTGCTGCCTCAGTTGCAAACAAGTGCTTGTCAAAACAAAACAGTATTTGCCAGAAAGGATTATAAGCATGTTCTCAAATTCTGAGCTGAGAAGACAGGAAGACTGATACTTCAGGTAGGTTTCTTCTTTTCAGAAATCCAAGCCTTACAACACAGTATATAGCTCATTTGAAGAATGATTGCACATTGTGAGCATAACCCTTTCTGACAGATTTTCAAGGTTGAGACTGATTAATTAATATTTGATTAGCAACCTTCTCCTGAAAACATATTCTTTCAGTTTTAAGAGAACTGTAAGGTTCTTAGCCCACTACTCTCTTCAGCAGCTGTTTGTACTATGGAAAACAAAATCAGAGTAAACAGTTTAGATGGTTCACATATCCAAACAAGCTTTGTCTTAGAGCAGCAGTTAATGCTTCCCTTGGGAATGCAGTTAAAGTGTATGAGATGCAAAAAGCAAAAATACTATACAAACGTATTTTTCCCTATCACTGAATCGCAGTAATGTAATCACTATTTGTAAACCAAATTTTAACATCTGAACTTACGGATAGCCTAGTTCCATGAAGTTGTTCCACATTTGTTTTAAAACCATAATAACTCCCATTTGCAAGCACAGATCTATCAAGCAGCCGCTAGGATGACACTGAAATGAAATAGGAAAAGATCAATAGCTAAAATCACAGAATTCCTTTCATTTTTATTTGTTAGAGGGTGGATGAAAAATACTCAAATGTGTTTGGTGAAAAACACTAACCTCGAACTGCAGAAATATAAAAAAAAATTAATAACAGAAATATTGACCCAAACTTCAGCTGAACAAACTTTAGACATATTATTTCTTGGAGAACTAGATCATATTACATAAGGGTATGAGTGCTCGGTATATGATAAATGATACAGTCCGTTTCACTTAGACCAATACATACAAATTAATTTCAGAAGAATGGAGCAATGTTTCATTAGTAACATCCTAAGTGAACAGAGACTTAATAGTTGAATCTCTGGTACCAGTATCTTAACTATATAAATTGCTCTATTAAAATGTTTAGTAACTACTGAAATTCTTGTTAGAACAAAGCTGAGAAATTTATGGTATTTTACTCTGTGGCTACCAAGGTTCAATAAAAGAAACCTGTTTTTCAGAGATAACTTCAGCATGGTAGAGATATTCAGGGAGGTGCAATTCAACCACATTTTCAAGTAGATTTTGAAAATATCGTTTTTTTTTTCTTTTTAACCTAAGAAGCAAAGAAGGTCGGAAGGGACCTTAAAGCTCACCCTGTTCCAACCCCCTGCCATGGGCAGGGACACCTTTCACTAGACCAGGTTGCTCCAAGCCCCATTCAACCTGGCCTTGAACACTGCCAGGGATGGGGCAACCACAGCTTCTCTGGGCTGCCAGGGCCTCATGACCCTCACAGGGAAGAACTTCTGCCTAATGTCTAAACTACATCTCCCATTTGTCAGTTTAAAGCCATTCCCCCTTGTCCTGTTGCAGCACGCCCTACTATAAAGTTTGTCCTCATCATTCTTATAAGCCTCCTTTAAGTATTGAAAGGGTGCTCTAAGGTCTCGCCAGAGTCTTCTCCAGGCTGAAAAACCCCAGCTCTCAGTTTTCCCCCACAGCAGACTTGCTGCAGGCCTTGGAGCATTTTTGTGGCCTCCTCTGGACCTGCTCTAACAGCTCCACATCTTTTCCTGTGCTGGCAGAAGCTTCAGAGGCTGATAAAAAAGCTGATTATGTTTATGTCCTCTGTCCAAAAATTCTACACACCCAGGAGATTCCAATCACATAGGATATAGAAGTGAGGTAAGGGAACATCACTTCTCTTTTCCCAAAGATAGAGATATGCTTTTCCCAAAGATAGAGACAGAAAGAACTGTGTGTCTTGGCCAGGGTCACTTAGAACAGTGGAGAATGAAGAAGGAAAAACACATGTCCTGTTTCCTCTCCTTTACTATAAGTAAGAGTTTACTCTTCACTGCACTTAATTAATATCCTTCAGCCATTTTCTTTTTTACACATGGGAATTTCACAGGAACACAGAATAGCATTGCTTACCTCTTCAAGTCTCCATCTGTTAAAAAGCTTGTTGTACTTTCCTGGGCGGCCTGCAAATCTGGAAAGTAAGATTTCTGTTTCTCAGTGCACGTTCCAAGAACACCCTGTATCAGTAGTTATTTCACAGCATTCACTGAGCAAAGTCAGAAAATATAAACAGATTAAATCACACAGGCTTAAATCTAGTATCTGTAGGATATGGAAGTTTCAGAATGCAAACAATGACCATTATTTTGCAAGTGACTCTAAGGTTTTATTATGTCCAAGACAAAAATCCTAGCTTCAGAGGTTTTAGATGTTAGATATTCAGCCTCTGAATTTACTGCAGAAACGGGATCTGCTTGGCCATGTGAAGTGTGCACTCTCAGAATCTTTTTCCAAACCCATCAGAACCAAAAGATTTTCAGAGATCTAAGAGACTCTTGTATAACAAACTGAATCAAAATCCTTACTGACCTCAGTGAAAGTTTTAGATGAGAGTGAAAAAACCTTGTGCCTGGTCCTAGTAGACACAGGAGACAGCAAGATACAAAGAAGATATTACCAACTGTCCTTCTTAGAGTGTTGCCTGGGTTTTTTCCCAACCAATCTTGAACTGAAATTATATTATAAAACTTTATAGAAGGCACTCTGAAATACTCTAGGTTCTGCATGAATTATAATTATCATAAGGAAGATGAAGCAAGGTTAGATCTGTCTGGTATCCCATGATTTCAGCTAAAGATAAACACGAAAACTGGAGCCAGAATTTCTGTCTCCTACTCTTTTTTAAGACCTGCCATACAATACTTATTACTTATAGAAACAGATTCTGGAAAATGGAATAAACATGGAAAGGGGAATAAACAAGAAATAATGAATAAAGCTTATTAATGTGGGGCTAAATACAGACCCATGTTTAGGAAGTGGCTTGTATATTCAAAGGTTCTGAATTCTTATCTAGTAGGAAAGTCATGTACATAGACCCCACTTAAAAAGCAGACTTTTTACTCTCTAGTTTCATGAGTAAAGATTTCAAGGGTCTAATCACCACACACAGTTAAAAATATTAGTGTTATTAATTATACTCAGAATGTGACTTGCATCTAAATCTCACAGTTCCAGTTGCTGATTTATTTTCTTCAAACCCATAAAATTAGCAAGGACTATGAGTCCTGTGCAAGTTTTCCTTTAAGTGCAATTAGCTAAGGTAATTTACCTGCCAAGGAAAAAGGCAATGTAGAAGATGGAGCTATTCAAGTTGACAAACTGGAAGAGGAACATTTTCAAGGCAAAGCTGTTTTCCCATTCAGATTCTGTTCGAGGGTGCTCTGTGGAAAGACACAATATACATTATCTAAACAAAAATGACACTGAGTTATACCCAAGTTTGCTCACCAATTGAGCAACACTAACAGAACAAGTGACAGTTTCCAGTCATGGTGCTCCATCAGGTTGCAGTTAATTTTTTTTTCCTCAAAGTGTTCAGTCTGCAGGCCACAAAACCATTGTCCCAGCTCAGCCTACACTAGTTCTAAGCATAAACAGGAGATACAAGCTCCTTGGTACAGAACAGGAGAAAACTCTTTGGGAAGAGTTCCATTCCATGAAAAAGTTCTGAATTCAGTATAAACCTTTAATTTTAAGGCTACAGGTATCTTGATTAAAAAAAAAAAAAAACAAACAAAAAAAACCAAACAGAACACCCCCCGCCAACAGAACAAAAACCCCCCCACAAAACAAACAAAAAGCAGAAGCACTTTGGTGTCAGCAGAGCAATAGCCAGGGACTGCCAAGGAAAACAAAGGAGACACAACCAACAGCCAGTTGGTTTCTCACACAGGCATCTCGCCTTCTAAATACATCTGTAAGACCACTACTTCATTCGCCTCATGTCTGACTTAGAACTCAAGGGATAATGATTAATTCAAATTTCTCTGATGGATGTATCAAACTTGAAATATAGCACACTGATAAAAGTTTTTGTACTACTTAATAAATTACTTTGGTCTAATGATACCTAACTTAGAATACAAATGTACAGGATAGTAGCTTTACAAATGGGTACTTGTTCCCAGAAGTTAAGATATCCTCCTCTTTGATATAAAAAAACCCCTCAGCAAGTGGAGTGTGCTACCCAGCTTAACTGCCTGATGTTCTAAGTAATGCTTAATTCAAGAAGCCTTTTTTTCTTTCTTTTTTAAATTCTTTGAGATATTTTAGGAAAAATCAGCTTGTATACACAGATGAAATCATCATTTTCTTTCTGCCTGCATGCTAATATAATATATTGAAAAAGTTAAGTAGGAATACACACCAGTGTGATGTAGAAAAATATTTTAAAATATTTTAATAATTTGGAAAATTGACTGTGCATAATGAATCTTTTAACCTGTCCAGCTGCTTGTTAACGGAAACATTATGTTCTGAGCATTTTTTTAGTGCATTCTCTTCAATACTTGAACCAGCAGAGGGAGCTGTTAAACAGTGAGCTTGGTTTTAAACCGTGACAATATCAATTGCTTATTTTGAGGTGGGCTGATAAAGCAGGTTAAGACGAAGCACTAAAAGGTAACATATTCATACAGCAGGAGATTTTAAATGCTGTCTCTGCTTTCTTGTTTTCTGTAAGATAGAAAGCTCCATGACCGAATTACGATGAGAGGCTTCAGTACAATTTTTTAATGTGACAGAATTAGTGCAACTTTAAAATTTATGACTTAACAATTTTATCTCAAGGTAATGTTATCTTAACCCTTTTTGTCCATATGAAAGTTCATATTAAAAAACTTTAAAAGAAACTCCCCCCAAAAATAGGCATTTCTGAAAAATGGGAAAAAAAATCGGTTTTATCATTGTAAGAAAGAATATGCTTTGACTTTTGTTCTATTATGACAATTTATACTATAAAACATAAAACACAGAAGTATAAGAATAAACTCCTTTCTTTTCTGTTATTTCTTTGGTGAAATAATCATATAATTTCTTTCTCTGATACTTCTCACTTCCGTAAGGAAATGCCAGAATCATACCATGCATTGGTGAAGTTTTCAAACCCCTGTTGTCTGGAAATATAAAGGTACATGACACACCTAGCAAGAACCATGCCACTAATAAAAGACCTACATACCTAAGTCTGTCAGGAGATAGGCAACCTTTTCATATACCTAAAACAGAAATAAGAGATAGTGTAAGTATGGCATATCCTGTCTGTTGTCAAATCCAGAATGAAAAGAAGCATGAAAAGCATAGGTGTTCTATTGCCTACAGCATCAAGGTATCCAGGCAGATACCGGGCAGAGAAGGTACCTGCAAGTGGGTGTATAGTTTCCTACAAAGACTTCACTGAACTCCTTTAGTCCCATTCTCTTGTAAATGTATATATGTAAGCATGTATATTAAATATACAACAAAGATAAATCAAGAGACAATAGGTCAAGAAAAGTGTTCAAACATCAATGGCTCTCTTACTGAACAGTAAGGTGCTTATCCTCTAACTTCAGGAGCAAACCTATGTGATCTAAAGTAAGCAAAAAGCCTACTTTTGTACGTTTCTTTGCATGAATGTTCATACTGGTTAGGATTATCAGTCTATTATTGAAAACTTCCTTATCTGTCTACATATTGACTATCTCCAGTCCTAATTTGAAATGACACTTAGCCCAAGGTAGTTACACACTCTGAGAAATATTTCCTTGAGTATTTACTATTAATTGCAAGTTATTTTCAATTGCTTAAGTGTGCTTGTTCAGTTGAATGTACTTTTTTTTGACTTGGAATTGTAAGATATAATAACAGAAATAAATACATGACTGTCTGTTTTGAAGAATTCTTTTCTATTGCAGTGACTGCACGATCTCCTTAAAAGAATTAAAAGCCATTCTTTGCTGTGCTATTATTCCTTTCTATGTGTTTATGCCTGCATGGGAATAGAAAAATGATAAATGAAATACTTAAACGAAAATCAGGTATCACAGCGATTCTAGAACTGTGCAACACTGATATCACAATTGCATTTTACATAAGAAAGAGAAGAACTCAAAGTTACAATTTACTTATTTTATAAATAAGTAAATAAATAAATAAACAAACCAAAACCCTTCCCACCCACCCCCCCCCCAAAAAAAAGCCCAGCAAAAAGAAGGCACCAGCCAAGAAAATAATAAAATAGCATAGTTTCACTTAGACATGTACTTTCAAGGGTAATGTAAAAAACAGAAATGCAAATGTAGAAAGCAGTACTCCGTACCACTGTGACTTGGTAATATAAGCAAGTATGTGAAGTGACTAAGTAGTTATTAGAAAAAAAATTGAGAAACATAGTATTAGAAGAGGAAAAAGCCCTGAAATACTAGCTTCAGGCACTGCTACGTGAATAAGCAAGAACATGACATATATCTGATATACAGTAAACTCAGGAAGCTCATAAAAATTACTTTACCCTAATCCCTCCTTTGAAAGTGCAGAAGACTTACAACATTGAGTGACATGATGATCATAAAATTGATACAGACTCCAGTGCCAGATGTTGCAAACTGCCAATACTTCTTGATGAAATACCACTTGAAAGAAGCAAACTGTTCCATGGCTACCAGACGATACACCACAACAGCAAACACTGCAGTGAGGACCAGTGAAATCTACAGGGAAGTATTTATGAATACAGGTATTATAACAAAATAAACTACATCTGAAATAATTCCCACTGAATTAACAAATTAACAGGTGTTTTAAAGACTGCCATTTGTTTTGGTGAGCTGACTCTGAGAGAAGAAAATACACAACCACTGAATTAAAACATTTATTAATTATTCTTTTTCAATAAAACTATGTTTTAAAAGAAAGCAATCCCTAAATAAGGAGTAAGACTCAAACAATCAGTTTTGCCTATTTTATGTAAATCCACTAATCTTAATGAATTGTGTTAGTATTTACATCAAAATGAGATTAAAGGCTACAATAATTCCAGTATTATTAAACATTACCATGAAAAATATTCCTGAGACAGACACCATTAGACGACTCAGCTTATCAGGGAAAGGCTGAAAAGGTTCAGGTTTTCCTGTGATGGGATTTACTCTTTCCACTTGGGAATATTTAGCTTCAAACTGGGGGCGCAGCTCTTCCTGGAACAACAGGGTAGATTCCATTTGTTGTAACACTTATTTCACTGAAGTATCAAAAATCAGATATACATGTGCTATAAAGTAGAAAATTTATATTGATAAGAAATCTTTTTTATAATGCTCTATAACAAACATCCAAAGAATTTACTCTTTTGAAAGTGCCAGAGACCAACAAAGAACAAAAAACTTAAGAGCCTTCCCCAGTACGTGAGGGTATTAAAAGGATCACAGGTCATAATATTGGTCTAAACACTAGGTTATCTGCAAAAATTGATAAGAAAACTATAAATTAATGCCAGTTATGACAGTGTCTTTTGTGATATTGAGCCATTTTTTAAAAGCCAACAGCTTGTATCATGCATCTATGGAAAGCTATAAGAAAAGTAGTGGCAAAGTCTCTGTTGACTTAGGCTGCAGTTAAATCAACAATATAGTTAAATCACAGCTATGTCCTCTACTGATTTATGAAATTATAAAATCATTTTATTATTGCTGATGCTGATAGCAGAACGTTAAAGGACAAGCTATGCCTCGAAGAAGGATATAAAATCTAGTTTCTGTCCTTTTACCTGTCTTGGTCCCAATTATACACAGGATTAGGAATTTCCAGTACAAGAAACACAGAACTGAAAGACATTTGTGTTGGCATCCGTAGTAGCTCCTATCTTCTGTACGGGTAGTATTTCCACTCAGTTTTTCAAAGGATACTTCATATAGAATTATATATATAGAATTATATCTGGAATTATAATGCTAGTTGCAGAAGGGAAAGTATGCTTGTACAGACTCAGGTATAATTTTTGATGCTGCAACCAGTGTTATAAACACAAATATCTGAATGACAGTAGTGTACAGTATGTATTGCTATCTACCCTTAAATCATATTGACAGCATGATTTCCAGGTTTACTTCTGTTTAGTCTTACCTCTTCATCTTCCCAGTCTATGAGGTCCCAGTCATAGGTTAATACAGCTCTCCTTCTCTTCCAAAACTCTAGAAAGACTGTAGCTGTGGAAATCATCAACTGCATTTTAATTATGGGAAAGAAAATAAAAAAGGCCACACAGATCTCAAGAAAACGATATGTAACATGGTAACCGTCATTAGCCACTGTCAGGCTGTTTCCCTATACTAACTGAAAACTGTAAATCATAGAATCATAGAATAATTAGGGTTGGAAAGGACCTTAAGATCATCAAGTTCCCATCCCCCTGCCATGGGCAGGGACGCCTCGCTCTAAACCATATCACCCAAGGCCTCGTCCAACCTGGTCTTGAACGCTGCCAGGGATGAAGCATTCACAACTTCCCTGGGCAACCTATTCCAATAACTTAAGGATAATCACTGTTACAACTGGAACACTATTTTACTATGTTTATCTAAGAATCTCTTTTTTTTCTTTCTGTCTGCTCTATTTGTAAAGAGATATGAGCCATACTTTTTAATTGTCATTTTGCTTTTGATTTTATTCAAAACATATACGGTTTAAAATCTTTCCTTGAAGAAACAAGGATATGCATACACAATGACATCTACTATTAAAGTGCTACATTATGATCTCATTTTATTCAGTTCAAGGCAATCAAGAAATCAAGACAACCTCACTCGTTTCCCAGCTTCACCAGCTTTATACAGGAGCAGCTAATCTCTGTGTGAGATATCAGATTCTCTATGTACTTAGCAGTTTTGGGAGATCCTATGAAAATAATTACAACCAATAATTAACCCCAAGTTTCCCAGACACTGTAGTTTGACACAGAGGTTAACACCTTGTTTTGATGGGATTCCTCACAGAATGTGGGCCTGCTCAATTATTGCTTGGAAAACAGTGATTTCAAATAGGAAGTGAGAAAATTTGTTTCCTTCTGGGAAGCCAACTGCTCAGAAGGAGGATTCCTTACTCAGACTGAATAGGATGGTCTCACATTCCTAACTTTTTGTGTATTTTTGTATTATGTTTAACATCTTATTGGGTTTACATATATAGTCTATATAGACATGATATAAAATGATATATTCATAATGTTATAAATAAATATTATTTATGCTGGGGAGGGACTCTTCATTAGGGACTGTAGTGATAGGACAAGGGGTAACAGGTTAAAACTTAAACAGGGGAAGTTTAGATTGGATATAAGGAAGAAGTTCTTTACTGTAAGGGTGATGAGGCACTGGAATGGGTTGCAAGGGAGGTTGTGAATGCTCCATCATTGGTGATGTTCAAGGCCAGGTTGGACAGAGCCTTGGGTGATATGGCAGGGGGGTTGGAACTAGATGATCTTAAGGTCCTTTCCAACCCTAACTATTCTATGATTCTATGATTCATGATCCATATACTACATTAGAGCACAATGACTAGAAGTTAGCAGAAGTCCACCATACCACTACCCATATATAACAGATGGCTGAGTAAAAGGAACTTGTCCTGAATATAATTTCTAGTAGTATGTTCTTTTATTCTACCAAGCATGGATCTTGTCTTCACTAGACATTTTATTCAAGTTTTGGATGCTCCTAACAAGAACAGCACACAGCTCTCCTACTTAAGCAGCAGTGGGGGTTTGCACTTGAGTAATCTGAGGGTGAAACAACCTTTCCTCACTGTCATAGGAAGTGCTATCACAACCAGTGCAGTGCAAGACTCAGGAATGTTACAGAAGACACCACCTTGCAAGAGAAATCCCTTCCTGACATGTGAGGACTCGGGAGGAATGTTAAACCCATGCTACACACAAAGCAACCAATGCTTTTCTTATGTGACCAAATAGGTAGCAGAAATACAACACACTCTGCAAAAAACAGCTGTTTGTGCTGTGAGTCAGGCTGCTCTACGAAGCATACCCAAGACATCCACTAGCCCTGTGCCAAAACTGGTAAGCCTGCAAAAATGAAATAATTCAGCTATACTCAAAGCAATAAAAATTAAGGTAGTGACCCAATTATCAGGAATAATGAATTTTAAATCCTTCTGATTTAAAATACCCAAGTCAGAGAAACTGAAACCAAGCAAATTAATTAGTGGTGCTTTCCTCCTGCCCCCCAGTGCCAGTAATGAAGAAAAGAGTGAGGAATGGTGGACTAATGAAGTACATGAACATTTTTTTTTGTCTGGGAAGTATTTTAGCTTGTGTAAATATCTGTTGAAGTCCTGGAAACAAAATGAGACAGTTGTGGTCTAGAAGTAATACTAGACTGTAGACAAATGGTGTCTTCAGTCAGATATATAGTAATCTTACAGTGCTATTTATTTCAGTCTGTCCCTTAAGATTTTGGATAATTTGCTTATTCTTTAAATCAAGATCCGTCTCTAAGTTAGAGTTTTCAGGCTCTGGTATAGCATGAATAATAGGCTTGAGTATAATACGAATAATAATAATTTATGTCATTTATGCTACTTATGGACACGAACTAAAGTACCTCTTCCAGATTCACCTGAGCTCTTAAAAATGCTGCAATGTTCTTTTCCATGCAGTAGAACTGATTTCATGGTGATTTTGCTATGCTACAAGGCCACTAAGAAAATAGTGCCAAAAGCCAGGAAAAAAGCTGCTGGGGGTGGGGGGAAAGGTAAGTCACAAAACTTCTGTGGTGTTAATTGCTAATCTAAATGACAGCAAAAAAAAAAAAAACCAACAAAACCAGAATTCCAAAAATCAAGTATTTGTCTAGTTCTGCAGAAAGCCTGGATTGTTCCTGGCTTGCCTTGATTTTACTCTATCACAATAGAGTGATAGATTTAACCTACTGTGACAGAGTAAAATAAAAGCTAATGCCACCCTTCTCTGACTGCTCTCTGTTCAATCGAACCCCCTGGTGCCAGTTGCTAGGCACTTCTACTGACTCATCTCTTCCTTTGATCTCCCAGCTCTGAAAATGGTAACCTTTGACTTTTATCAATTAACTTCTGTAGAAAATCAAGACATACAGTAGATGATTAATCCAATAATTTGATCATCAAGATGCATGTTCTAACACCGCTTTGACCTGGCAGAGTTTGTTTGCGCCTAATCCTGCCACTCAGGAGTTCTGGATGATTTACAATTTACAGGGTCACACACAGGCTTCCAGTTTCCTGCAGAAAACATCATCTGGTGCCTCCCCTGCTTTTTCCCAGGAACACTGCTTCCAATTTTAGAGCTTCAATTACTGTTCTGAATTTTAAATCCCATAATATATGGTGTACTTCCTTTTATGGTCCAGCATTTTGGTACAGAATCACTCATTTAGGGATTTGTCATTCAGTGCTCTACAGTGCAGTTCTGCTCATTCTACGCTTCCAAAAAAAATCTTTAAATTCTTAAGTTACTTTATTTTTACTGTCCTTATTTGCACTGCCATTATTTGCACTGATGAAGAACTGAAATCACAGAATTACAGAATCATTTAAGTTGGAAAAGACCTTTAAGATCATTGAGTCCAAAGGTTAACCCAACACTGACAAGTCCACCACTAAACCATGTCCCTAGACAAGTCTTTTAAATACCTCCAGGAATGGTGACTCCATCACTTCCCTGGGCAGCCTATTCCAATGCTTGGCAACCCTTTTAGTGAAGAAAATTTTCCTAATATCCAATCTAAACCTCCCCTGGTGCAAATTGAGGGTTTTCAGTAGGTAACTCTCCACCAAGTTTGGCCTCAGCAAGCCAAGCCCCTTCTGAATACTCTGCTCAATTACTTGTTCAGGTTTCACAGTATCACAGTATCACAGTATGTTAGAGATTGGAAGGGACCTCAAAAGATCATCTAGTCCAATCCCCCTGCTAGATAAGGTTACACAGGAACGTGTCCAGGCGGGTTTTGAATGTCTCCAAAGAAGGAGATTCCGCAACCTCCCTGGGCAGCCTGTTCCAGTGTTCCGTCACCCTCATTGAGAAGAAGTTTCTTCTCAGGTTTAAGTGGAACCTCTTGTGTTCCAGTTTGTACCCATTTCCCCTTGTCCTATCATTGTTTGCCACTGAGAAGAGCCTGGCTCCATCCTCGTGACACTCCCCCTTTATATATTTATATACACTAATAAGGTCACCCCTCAGTCTCCTCTTCTCCAAACTATAGAGACCCAGCTCCCTCAGTCTTTCCTCATAAGGGAGATGCTCCACTCCCTTAATCATCTTAGTTGCCCTGCGCTGGACTCTCTCCAGCAGGTCCCTGTCCTTCTTAAACTGAGGGGCCCAGAACTGGACACAATATTCCAGATGAGGTCTCACCAGGGCTGAGTAGAGGGGAAGGAGGACCTCTCTCGACCTACTAACCACCCCCCTTTTAATACAGCCCAGGATGCCATTGGCCTTCTTGGCCACAAGGGCACAGTGTCGGCTCATGGTCAACCTGTCGTCCACCAGGACCCCCAGGTCCCTCTCCCCTACACTGCTCTCTAAGAGGTCGTTCCCTAACCTATACTGGAACCTGGGGTTGTTCCTGCCCAGATGCAAGACTCTACACTTTCCCTTGTTATATTTCATCAAGTTATTCCTCCAGCCTGTCCAGGTCTCACTGGATGGCAGCACAGCCTTCTGGCGTGTCGGCCACTCCTCCCAACTTAGTGTCATCAGCAAACTTGCTGATAGTACTCTCAATTCCCTCATCTAAATCATTGATGAATATATTAAATAATACTGGTCCCAGTACCGACCCTTGAGGCACTCCACTAGATACAGGCCTCCAACTAGGTTTAGTCAGTTACATTGCAGCAAAGCAAAACAATGAAGTCCTACAGATTCAGTACCTACTGAGACACACTCTTCAGAATTGAAACTGCTGCTTAATAAATATATAATTTAATGAAAGGTTAGTCTCATCTCCAACTTCTGGAATACTCTGAACCATATGGCCATAGCTCCAAGTCTGCTCACACTCAGGTTCACTGCTGGAGGTTTTACCTTCCAGGAACAGCAGGTCAACACTCAGTGCTAGCGTGCTGGCACCACACTGTGGGTGTATGACACTGAGCCAAGAACTGAGTCACATACAGAGCACTATATTAAATAATACATATTATGCATGTATTCAAATAACCTTTAATTGTAAAAAAACTATCAGAAAGGCTTCTCAGCACCATAATGTGTGCACAGAATCATAAAACAGAATTGTAGAATAGTTTGGGTTGGAGGGGACCTTCAAAGGTCACCTAGTCCCATCTCCCTGCAATGACCTGGGGGACATCTTCAACTAGATCAGGTTGCCCAGAACTACATCCAGCCCTGGCCTTGAATATCTCCAGAGATGGTGCATCCACCACCTTTCTGGGCAACCTTTGCCAGTATTTTACTACCCTCGTTGTAAAGAATTTCTTGCTCACATGCAGACTGATTCTCCCCTTTACTTTAAAACCATCACCCCTCATCCTATCACAACAGGCCCTGCTAAAACATCTCTCCTCATCTTTCTTATAGGACCCTTTTAAGAACTGAAAGGCCACAATAAGGTCTCCCCAGAGCCTTGTCTTCTCTGGGCTCTCTCTCTCACAACAACCCCAACTCTCTCAGTCATTCCTCAAAAGAAAGGTGCTCCAGCCTTCTGATCATTTGAAGCCCTTCTCTGGACCCTCTTCAACAGGTCCCTGTCTTTGCTGTACCGAGGACTCCAGAACTGGATGCAGTACTCCAGTGGGGGTGCATGCTGGTGTGAAGTACACTGTTGACCCAAGTATATTGCTTGTTATTTAGTTAATGCTGCTTAAGGTCCAAATCTGGACACAAATTTGTGGTGGGGCAGTTCAGATCTCATGGTCAATCTGTTAGATGCATATCCTAGCAGACACAGCAATAAATATGTGTAGCAAGCTTGTTACACACTGCAGAGAAGGCTAGATTTCAAAGAAAGCCAAACCCACTACACCAGACTCCTCTCACAGACCACCCCACCTCATACCACAGAAATAATTTGCTTTCTGAAAAGGGGTATTAGAAAAGGTAGAACTTGATCCATTTCACAGAAAACCTTCCACTTGTCCACTGCAGTATTTTCAAGAAAACACCAGTAGTTGGCCCTATATAAACACCTCCTGCATAGGCCATATCCTCAACACTTATCTCAAGGATTAGTTATGAAAGAGTATTTGCACTTGATTCCTTAAAAATGTAAAGTGGAAATAGAGAACAACATCATGGAATTCCACTCAAACAGTCACACAATACTGAAGCACTTCTGAGTCACTCTTCAACCACGTACCTGCCTAAAATAACTATGCATAAGGCACTAAAAAATAACAAAAACACCCCACAGTTTGACTAGATCAGCATAGTAAGTTATATATCATATGCCTGACTTCCTCATTCTTACTTTATATACTTAATTACTTTATATAACTATACTTTAATCCAGTATTGTCCATATTAAACCTAAAGCAAGAGTTGTAACAAATTGTTATGTATTGCAAATTAAAAAATGACATCTGATACATTCAGAACATTTGTATTTAGATTATCTAAAATTATTGCAACTGCAAACATATTAGAATCATTTCTAGCAGCATGGTTTCCTTAACAGAACTCAGAACTTTATTTTGTAGAAGACAGGTCTTTTCCAGCTTTCATGTCACACTGTACCATAGGAAACTGCAGTAACAAGAAACTATCTTCTGCTAAATTAATAGTTGCATGGTACATGGAACAATAGTTTCTACAGTTTACAGAAAATAGTCACCCATCTGAAATACCAGCTCAAATACTTCCAAAGGATTAAGCAATAAGCACTGCCTCCCCACTTTACCCTAAATACTGCAATTGCTGTGGACTCTGTAATGACAGAGCTGGGTGATGACAGCAGCCAAAAGAGTGTGGCTGGTTCCCAGACGTGTACAGGGAAGGGCTGCCCCACCTCACCTCACCTCTCCTGGATGGCGCGTTCCTCACCCCCGTCACACTGCCGTGTTTATTGTCCCTGCACTCCCTTCTTCCTACCAGACTAATTGCACTCTGGGCCATTGCAGGATTTCAACAGGCTCCTCTTGCGTGTTTTGTAGAGCTCAAAGGTAAGTCTGAGGGGTTTTCTTTTTAAATGCTTATTAGTGTATGTGATTAATTTAATATCTTATATATTATTTCATACAGTGTTCCAGAAGGCAGTCAGTGCTGTTGTAGCCAAATTCTATTTAATTTCTGAGAAAATAATTTTTTAATCACTCCCTCACCATTTTTTAAATTCAAACATTAAAGCAGAGAAGTAGCAACAATAAATAATGTCAGTATTTCACTCCAATTCATACTTTAGTGGGTATTTATGCTCTTTATGCAGCAAGCACTGTTGGAACAAGTTCAGAGAAGGGCCACGAGGATGATCAGGGGACTGGAGCACCTCCCACATGAAGATAGGCTGAGAAAGTTGGGGCTGTTCAGCTGGAGAAGAGAAGGCTGTGTGGAGACCTCATAGCAGCCTTCCAGTATCTGAAGGGGGCCTACAGGGATGCTGGGGAGGGACTCTTCATTAGGGACTGTAGTGATAGGACAAGGGGTAATGGGTGAAAACTTGAACAGGGGAAGTTTAAATTGGATATAAGGAAGAAATTCTTTCCTGTTAGGGTGGTGAGGAACTGGAATAGGTTGCCCAGGGAAGCTGTGAATGCTCCATCCCTCGCAGTGCTCAAGGCCAGGCTGGGCGAAGCCTTGGGTGAGATGGTATAGTGTGAGGTGTCCCTGCCCATGGCAGGGGAGTTGGAACTAGATGATCTTAAAAGTCCTTTCCAACCCTAGCTATTCTATGATCCTGTAAGTATGAGAGTTCTCTCAGAATCAGTTCAGATCCCATTTTAAATGCTTGGTATGGTGAAGGGAAGAATATATTCTGTGTATGCTACTTTTTACCAAACTTCTGTAAAAAAATGGTACTGCTGCACTGTTAGTGCTTCTGCTGAGTTTAGTTATCGTGGAAATGAACAGGAAATACACACTTAGGAAGGTGAGCCAGGGCACTTACACTTGTCACATTGCTAGCTAGTAAGAGGAGAAAAATTAAAATCATCATAGATTATTATTCATATTTATATTCCTCTTCATAATTCACTAAAAAGTCATAAATTATTTTCTCAGTACAAAAATTAAAATACATTTAAGCTTGAAAATTTAATATTCATTGCTCACTGAACTGAGAAGTAACTCATCCTTGAAGAGGAATCTGAATTTTAGAGCAAAGAGCTGTGGAGCAAAAATCCATTATGTTTCTGGGACCATGATTTGCTATGATTTCTTTCTGGATTCTAGAAGATAAATTCTTTATGTTTGCTTTATATTTGTTCAGTCTATTGTTGGATCACTGATGTAAAGGTAAAAATATTCTGCTTGATGAGGCTTAAAAAGCATAAGTGAGAGCTCTGCAAATATGAACATGCTACTTCAGACCATAAGAAACAGAGGTGCTATTAATAATACGCTCATCATGCCACTGTTTACTACATAAAGTTTACTACATACTTTCTCATCTGTAGAGAAAACACACCTCTCCCTGCCAAAACCTCATGGATACACTGAACAAGGTGCCTGCTGCAACTGTGTAACTTCAAGATGAGTTTTTCCTCATCCTTCTGAATCTAGCATTTGAAAAGATAATGCATAATACATAGCCTCCAGTCTCCTACAGGAAAAGAGGTTCCCCCACAAATTCAGCACCATCCATAACCGCGGGACTGATCTAGTTGTCAGCTTGCACCTGGTAGCATTCAGATGACACTCACTGCTCAGGGTCACAAAAAATTACCCATCAGGTCAGGGCTAATTGTAACAATTATATTTCTTAGCAATGGAGCATAACTCTTCAGCACGTTCCTGGAGCTGCTGCCTGTCCAGAAGGCATTGCCTTGGGTGTGCCACCCAAATATGTTGCCATTACCTTTCTCTATAGCAAAGTGGTTTTGAATCATTCCTCTCTGAGTACAAGGCCTGTTTACAGAGCCATGGAATGTTCTTGTGTAAAAAGCGTTTGTTGATTATCAGTATTCTTTAGGTCATTCTCTTGGTCATTAACACTTAGGGATGTGAAGTTTTCAGCATCAACATATGGTAAACGTGATATTTTCTGTACTATAACACTTTCTTTTACCAGCTTATTTGGTAAAAGTAGCTTTGTTTTGCAAAATAAAACCATGGACAAAAGTGAATTTCTTGCAGATTCTTCATATAACAAACTTTGAAGTCAACACTATGCAATTATCCTGTGGAAAGATTTTCATTTTTCTGCTTGTAAGGCTGCAATGGAACAAAAGCAATACCAAGGGCATGAAAGTAAATGGAGCAGGTGATAGCAATGGCTCAATTAGAGATAACAATTGGTCTACAGTGCAATCAACTTCATGGAGATTGGTTCCGACTGCAACTACTGCCATAAATCCTTCTATCATCAGTCATGCTGCACCAGCAACGGCCAACGTCAAAGAAAATGTAGCAGAAACAACAGAGATGAGCAGTCAGCCAAACAGCACACCCCCAACATCCACTGATGGCACCACTTTATCTTCAGTTGCCACTACAGTATCTAAAGATGGAATAAACAACTCTGCCACAACCTTCAACAGAATCCCAGTATCTTTAGCGACACTTACAACAACAAGTGAGCTTTCTCGACTGACCAAAAGTGCTGCAGCTACTTCTACGTCCACAGAGAAATCAAGTAACTCCACAGTCACCTACGGCACACCTTCGGCTGTGGTGCTCCCCAGTGATAATTCTTCAGCCAATGCCACCACATTGTTCCCCACCAGCGTTGCTCTGACATCACCCACAGTGAAGGAGGAGGGTACCACAACAAACTCCAGCACCATTCTGCAGGCAACTGAGCTGAACCATAATTTCAGTAACTCTTCTACTGCATTGCCTGATTCAAAAGATGCCAATGCAGGTAAGTCTATAACTGAGGACCAACTGATTTAACAAAATTATAACACTTTTTCCTTGAACAGGATGCTTTATCAGATATGTGAATTAAGAAGTGATTTAGTACAGACTAAAAATAAAACTCACCCAAATAAAAAAGGCGGGTTTAATTTTTTTTTCTTATTTGCTGTTTACTTGTTTAATACTTGCAAAAATAGGGGAAGCTAATGACACATACTGCCCATTCATACTGGAGTGGACCTTCAATGAAGATGTGCAGAAATAACACCTGGGGCCCTCACCTAAGACAGATGTGGAGTGAGTCCAGAGAAGGGCCACAAAGATAAAGATGCTGCGAGGGCTGGAGCACCTCTGCTATAGAGACAAGCTGAGAGAGTTGGGCTTGCTCAACGTGGAGAACAGGTCTTTTGACAAAGCCTTATAGGGACGGGACAAAGGGGAATTGCTTTAAACTGAAAAAGGGTAGATTTTGGTTAGATATAAGGAAGAAGTTCTTCCCTGAGAAGGTCATGAGGCCCTGGCATAGATTGCCCAGAGAAGCTGTGGCTGCCCCATCCCTGGCAATGTCAGTGCTCAAGGGCTTGGAGCAACCTGGTCTAGCATAAGGTGTCCCTGCTGGTGACAGGGGGTTGAAACTGGACAAGTTTTCAGAACCCTTCCAACCCAAACCATTCTGTGATTTAAAGCATGTAACACATCAACTTATTTAAGTTCAGAAACTTTTGTGACCAAAGATAACTTCTTATAAATACTTCCAAAGGAATTATATTAAATTGTGCATTTAATTATCAAGTCAAGTATGCGTGGGAAAACAAAGGAGTATAAAACTGTCATGGAACTTTTCTACCCTGCTGTTCTAAATCAGGTCAGCAGAAAAATAAAAGGAAGGATTAGAACACACAGTAACTTCTGTCATTAACTGGCTTTCAAGCTTTTAACACAGGCTTATCCATCATATCCAGTGGAGTACAGTTTGTACCAGGAACTGCAGGAGCATCAACTACCATCACTGTTCTAATAATTATAATGTACCTCATTTTTCGATAACGTGACCAAAAAGAAAGTGGGGTGGGAAAGCAAGTTCAATTCCAAGAAAAACAGAATACTTAGAAGAAATTTTTTATTAATTTTAAGAAATATCTTCGAGGAATGCAGTTATTCTGATAACTGAACAAGTGCAGAAAGAACTACTGGATTTCTTGCCTTACATACTCAAAAGTTGGCACTCTAAAAGTTAATCACTTGAAATTCAGAGGCTGCAGTTTTAACTGCTGGCTTAAATACTTAAAAATAACTGCATTCAAAGAGTGATTACTGCTTACTTCTTTCAAGAAAAAGACAGTGGCTGATTCTGTAATTAAACCTGAAACCTTTTTATTTGACTAAAAAAGCTCATTCAGCCTTCCCTTTTTGTTTTAAACCCACGTTATTTCCCTGAAAGTCAAGGATGGAAATGTCTGTTTTCTTTTCCAAGGGCAGAAGGTTTCTGCAGGGAGGCTGGTTTAGTCAGTCTGCAAAGTGTTTAAGATCCTTAGTGAAAAGCCTAACTTCACAAAACCCTTAACTGCTATAAAGCACGAGTCAAGTGCCTGAACTTACAGATTTATTCTTGTTATTCAACTTTCTATTCTTTTCTTCTCTCCTAGACAAAATGAACAAAGGAGAAGTAATAGTTGGTGTCATTGTAGGAGCCATTTTGTTGTCTATATTAATTGGTGTGATTGGGTATTTTATATGTGGTAAGAAGAGGTCTGAGTCTTTTTCCCACAGACGGCTTTATGATGATACAAGGAATGACCCAGGTAAGTAATAGTACAAATGTTTTGGATAAGAACATTTTGTTGCTTCTGCACAGAGCTGCTTAAATAGTCTGGTCTTAATCACAGAATCATAGAATCAAGCAGGCTGGAAAAGTCCTTTAAGTTCATCAAGTCCAACCTTTACCCCATGACTGCCAGAATAATTTATTAGGAATCGTATCATCAACTCCACTCAAACTAGTCTTCAACTGATAGCACTTTATTATTTTTAAATTTTAGCTTAAAAATACTCCCCTTTGTGTTTCTGCTTTACAAGTTATTTTTTTCAACCTCTAAAATATCAGAAAATACCGTTAACTAGTATCAGTGAACCTACTGAAAGAACTGTGGGCAAGTTCAAAATTACAGCTCAAAAGCTCTCCCAAACTTTGGTTAACTGAATAAGGCTAGACTCCTTACTCACCCAACTTCAGTTATAGAATGAGGGATGAAGCTATATCTGCTCTCAGGAGTAAAAATATTTTTAAAAAGGTTTAAAAGGAAGATTGATTTTATGTTTGCCATGAATATGTATAAACTCGCATTAAAGCATAATCACATAGTATCCAAACATTTGTATCATGTTCCTGGACTTTATTTTTAAACATTTAAACAAACATTGAGAGCCCAAACACACTTTTTTTCTCATATGAAATCAAATGAAAATAAAACTCTGGCAACATACCCTCTCTGGCTTAAATGCAAGAGCTGAAAGCTGCCAGAATGTCAGATTAGGAAACAGCTTTGAAAGTTGACCACCCATGTAGTGCTGAATGGACCTTACTGGGAGGACTGTTTTATCTTCAGAAGACTGTGGATCAGGGCCTTCATATTTTGCTCTCTCAAACATAAAAAAAAAAGCTGGCGAGAGGGGTCAAGGACAGCAGAAAGAGCTTTTTCAAATACATGGCAGGTAAAACTAACACCAGAGGCAATGTAGGCCCGCTGATGAACGGGACGGGTGCCCTGGTGACAGAAGATACAGAGATGGCAGAGTTACTGAATGCCTTCTTTGTCTCTGTCTACTCTGCCGGAGGCAGTCCTGAAGAGCCCTGTACCGCTGAGACCTCGGATGAAGATAGGTCAACGGAGCGGTCTGCCTTAGTCGATGAGGAATGGGTTAAAGACCAGTTGAGCAATCTGGACATCCATAAATCCATGGGTCCAGATGGGATGCACCCGCGGGTGCTGAGGGAACTGGCTGAGGTCATTGCTAGACCGCTCTCCATCATCTTTACCAAGTCTTGGGAAACGGGAGAGGTGCCTGAGGACTGGAGGAAAGCAAATGTCACTCCTGTCTTCAAAAAGGGCAAGAAGGAGGACCCGGGTAACTATAGACCGGTTAGCCTCACCTCCATTCCTGGGAAAGTGATGGAACACCTTATCCTTGGTGCCATCTTAAGGCATATCAAGGATAAGAGGGTTATGAGGGGCAGTCAACATGGCTTCACCAAGGGGAAGTCATGCTTGACCAATCTCGTAGCCTTTTATGAGGAAATAACACGGTGGATGGATGATGGCAGAGCGGTGGATGTGGTCTACCTTGACTTCAGCAAAGCGTTTGACACGGTCTCCCACAGCATCCTTGCGGCTAAATTGAGGAAGTGTGGTCTGGATGATCGGGTAGTGAGGTGGACTGTGAATTGGCTGAAGGAGAGAAGCCAGAGAGTTGTAGTCTATGGGGCGGAGTCTAGTTGGAGGCCTGTATCTAGTGGAGTGCCTCAAGGGTCGGTACTGGGACCAGTATTATTTAATATATTCATCAATGATTTAGATGAGGGAATTGAGTGTACTATCAGCAGGTTTGCTGATGACACTAAGCTGGGAGGGGTGGCCGACACGCCAGAAGGCTGTGCTGCCATCCAGAGGGACCTGGACAGGCTGGAGAGCTGGGCGGGGAATAACTTGATGAAATATAACAAGGGAAAGTGTAGAGTCCTGCATCTGGGCAGGAACAACCCCAGGTTCCAGTATAGATTGGGGAACGACCTCTTAGAGAGCAGTGTAGGGGAGAGGGACCTGGGGGTCCTGGTGGACGACAGGTTGACCATGAGCCGACACTGTGCCCTTGTGGCCAAGAAGGCCAATGGCATCCTGGGTTGTATTAGAAGGGGGGTGGTTAGTAGGTCGAGAGAGGTCCTCCTTCCCCTCTACTCTGCCCTGGTGAGACCTCATCTGGAATATTGTGTCCAGTTCTGGGCCCCTCAGTTTAAAAAGGACAGGGACCTGCTGGAGAGAGTCCAGCGCAGGGCAACTAAGATGATTAAGGGAGTGGAGCATCTCCCTTATGAGGAAAGACTGAGGGAGCTGGGTCTCTATAGTTTGGAGAAGAGGAGATTGAGGGGTGACCTTATTAGTGTATATAAATATATAAAAGGGGAGTGTCACGAGGATGGAGCCAGGCTCTTCTCAGTGGCAAACAATGAAAGGACAAGGGGTAATGGGTACAAATTGGAGGACAAGAGGTTCCACTTAAACCTGAGAAGAAACTTCTTCTCAGTGAGGGTGACGGAACACTGGAACAGGCTGCCCAGGGAGGTTGTGGAATCTCCTTGTTTGGAGACATTCAAAACCCACCTGGACACATTCCTGTGTAACCTTATCTAGGTGTTCCTGCTCCGGCAGGGGGATTGGACTAGATGATCTTTTGAGGTCCCTTCCAATCTCTAACATATTGTGATACTGTGATACTGTGATAAGAGGTTGACTGGATTTAGCTGCAAAGGACTGCTGAACTAAATTGTGAGTATACAGGGATACAAATCTTTCAAGCAGTATATAAAACTTTCAAGCAATATATAAAAAAATAATCCCATTATCCTTTTAGTTCTCCACTTAGACAACTCACTTGGACCATATGATACAAGTTTTGGATATGTGCCAGATGACAGAAGCAGCACAGCACACAAGGCAGTGGAAGACAACTTAGGCTGCCCATCTGACGGCATTCCTATGGCTGACATGACACCATCCCACCTTTCACTGTAATGTCAGCTTCAGATTATCTTCTCACCTGTTACCCTCATGCTTTCCTTTTTCCAAAAGGACCTGGCAGCTGTTCTGTTACAACTATTAGTGTGCAAACGTTTTGGAAAGCAAAGGCAAAAATCACAAGATAAAGGGACAGGCAGCAGGCAGGGCCCCCATCACTCTTTGACTTTGTAATTAAGTGATCAACCTATGGCTTTGCTGGAAGGATATTATACTTGCTTTATTAGAAATAATATAGACAAATAGCATCCAGGTAAAATTCTGCCTTGGGTAACTTCTGGTCACGAATGTGGACATTCTATGAATTCCCCCTTTCACTAGAACCTCAGCCTCAGCTGAAAACGGCAAGGGGAAAAAGCTGAAAAAGGCTCTGAGGGAAGCTCAAAGACAGAAATGAAGACATAGAAGCTACCAGCATTGTCTGGTAACTATATAACCAAGTGCAGTGTCTTTTAGGAAATTATGAAACTAATTATTAGTAATTGCAAGGCTACAAAAGCATGATCAGGTGCCAATGAAGAAATATCACTGAGGCAAGCAATAAAGCATGCCAGTTATACTGTGTTAATTTTTAACAACTTAATTATGGTTTTTGCATGCATGTGCATGTGTTTCTTGTGTTGTCTATGCAGCTCTGATGTTTTGCTGTTTGAATATTTTTTTTGCTTTTACCAGGCCAGCCTCCAAAATCTGTGACATTCGCTCATCCTTCACTTGAAGTTAGAATTATTAATACTTTTTAATACATATTACTTAAATAAAGCTGTTGTGTGCCATTTGACTCTATTTAAAATTGTAAAATCCTGGCTTCAATTCAGAGAGTTGTACGAATGCAAACTGGTATTATTTTCTCGGGGTTTACACAGACAAACATTTACATTGGTAAAATTCATTATCTCTTGTTATAATACTAGTTTTCCCTATTTCCAGTAGCCAAATACTGTTAGCTTCAGTGAAAGGTAATTCCAGCAAGCATTTCATGCTGGAACTATTACATGTCTTGTGTGACACTATGACACTGACCTTCTAAGAGAGACAAGACTGTCCTTGGTAACTCCTGTTAAACAGTAGCCTCTGCTTGGCTTTGGGCCCCATGACATGATGTGTGTGATGTCAGAGTGAATATAATGAGATATTCAGAATAAGAATTTGAATATAGGTATTAAAATTAAGTACTTACCATCAAGTCTTTCCTATACTATAGCTCCCACAAAATTGTTCTCATTTGTTCTACAAGAATTCTCTACATGATGTCATTTTTATATTGACTCCAGATAAGTAAGTTAACCTCCATGATTGCCTCTTAAAAGACTTCCACCTACGTGATATAAAATTCAGGCCTGAAGACATGAAGATTTTGAACACAGTTATTACATTAATGATAAAAGGTATTTCCACCCACTGCTAGCACAGAAGTTGAAACTGATGAAACAGGAATAAAAGAGGTTGTGTGACAAAACCACAATCCTTCCTTAAATTTTCTCTAGAGCTATAATCTCCCTTTACTCAGTAATCCTATAAAAGGGTCAGGTGAACTAAAAATACAAATAAAAATGCACTTACCCCAAATTGCCATGAAAATAGCAAAGAAGACAGTTCCTCCATTATCAAACAAATGTGTAACCTGAATAGAAAATGAATACATCAGGAATAAATATTACTGCCACTTTACCTTTTGCCCCAGTGAATCCCAAAGCATATAACCAGTCAAAGAAACTAAAAGTGAGGCATTCTAACCAGAAGTCCTACTTGGATGTTTATTCTTCCAAGATTTGCCTCACCCTTTCTTTCAGTATAACTGGAACTCTGGTTTTCCAGACTCACTTCATGCATCTCCAGTCTATGTGTTTCACAGGCATTAAGAGCTTCTCTGTTCATGTCCAGACAAGCTAAAAATTCCTCCAAAGTTCTTCTCATATGCTGGGTCAAATTTAATGTCAACATATCCTATTTTAAGGTTTTTCTAAGCTTAAATAACTTCCATCTTTTCTCGTCTTCCTCTATATATTACTTAATGTCTCTCTTGATTCTCCTCATGAATGCTATCCCTTTTCTTGGATTTATCTCTTATCTTACTCTTTGCTATAACATTTTTCAGGCAGAACAGGTATTCTGTTGCAAAGTCCAAGACTGACTGATAGAAAATAAGTAATAATTAGTTTCTGCATGCCTGCAGATCATTCTAAGAGTGGGTGAATCTGATGTCTCACTTGTTATGAAAACATCACAATTTATCTTACAGAAATCCACAATTTCTAATATTCAAGCCATAATCTGAAACAGTATTTGGGAAGCTGAAATGAAAATTCATGTACTCTCAATAGAGTTAAGGTTGACAATTTCAAGCCATGTAATCTATCCAGGAACAAAGGGCCTACATTTTGTCTAATGGAAGGCGGCTTAACATGTTGCTGAGCATTAGTAAGCAAAACAGAGGGCTCAAATTCCTACTTGAACAAAAAGCATAAATCATTGTAAAATAATAGAGCAAACCAACTTATCATCAACAAGCATATGTGAGAAAAAGGATCTGAAGAGAGAGGAAAAAGAAATGAAAAAGTGCTGTAAATGGCTTTGATATGAATTGTCATAAACCATCCAGGAAATTTCTACTCTTTGAAATAAGAGAATGTCTCAAAATAGAATATTCTTGAAAAGACTTCACTGTCATTGATGTTGACTTTGTTGCTAATTTAAGGACCAATTTTTAAGCTTTTATCACAAAAACAAACTTGTCCTTTTGGCAAAGGAAGGGTGCAAGTAACCAGATTCAGTTTTGCCTTCCTGTGACTTTCTCTTACATCTGAAGTTATTCTGGCCAGCAGGAATGTTCTGTACATGAGGTGTGCTGGGATGCTGGTGCTGACAGACTGCCTCTAGCAATTTACCTAACCTGCTTCTGTGAGAGCTGCCTGCTGCAAGAAGAATTCATCCTGTTGACAGGTTTTCATTCTTCTAAAAAAAGCTGGCATCACTTCTGCCTCACAAATTAAGAAAACTAACTCAAGAAAGCAGAAAAACTTAACAGAAACAGTGTTGCTTGCCTCTATTTTCTGTCTTACTGAGTAAAATAATTATAATATTATGAGAATTTCTTAAAAAACACACATATTTTGTCTTTCTGTCACTTCTTTCCCCCCCCCCTTTTTTTTTTTAAGGTTCTGAAATGATAATTGACTGTCTGGTATAGAATATCAACAAATCCAGTATGTTCCTTGCATGAATCATACAGTGGGATCAACTGCACACATAAATGGGTCTTTTGCTTTAATTTTGCTTCCATAAAGGAAAACACAAACATAATGGGTATGAGACTGTGAATAATAGGTATGAAAGGTGAACAACAGCAGTACAATAAAGGTGGAGAACACTGATTTTGGATATTCTGCTCAGTAGAGACTGCATCTTTCCAAGAGAAATAGAAAATGAACCAAACAAACCAAACCCAGAAGAATTAATGTTACTAAAAGTAGAAAATATGTATCTGGCTCCTAATGTAGAATTGCTTTTAGAAAAAGTACTTGGTGAGAGTGTTTTAGCACCACAGTCAGAATTGAGATTTGACTGTTACAGGCTAAAAGCGTAGTGTAAGGCTGTGTTGACCAAAGGCCTTTAAGAAGAGGTGAGATACTGTAGGACTCAGGTGCTAGTCCATCAGCATACCTGGCTGATGTTGCCATCGTGATACAAGACTTCAGGCACTTCAAATCCACACTGAATCAACACCCTGCCCCACGGCTGAGGGCAAGGTCTGCTGGGTGCAGGACCAGCCCCAAGAGCCCCAGTACACCACACCAACCACCCATGGATCAAAGAGTCCATTGAATGTGAATGGGAATGAGCCTGGGTATTCAGCAATTCAGATTGCAACTCAGGCATTACCTGCCTTTCCCTTCAATTATGAACTTCATTTCAGTGTGGCATTTTTGATTGAAATGGCATACAGAGGGAAAGGATGAAAGAAATGGGCGGTGACATGAAGGAATAAGGCATCTTTTGTATTTTGTTTCCAGCGTTACAAAAACTTGGCAGAAAAAATATTTGAAATATATGACTTTTCCAGCTTTCGTTTGTTCTGTCTGAAGTGCTCTTCTGTAAAGGGAAACTTGGCAGATAGTTAAGAAATTTAAGAAAGAAACCCTGACAGCAATTTTAATAATGTGAAACATGAGCACAAAGCCTTATATAATGAGGCAGGCCCCACAACATAAGCAGGTTTAGGGAGATGAACACTTACAGGAACTCCCATTTCCTATTTAACAAAATGCTTATGTATTTGCATACAATAAGCTACTTGAATGAATAAGGATTAAAACACTTACTGCAGAATAAGGGTGTCAGTGCCTGGAATGAATCAGGAATAGCTCCCCTGGCATACCAGCTCTTTAATTGTATGGAAGGAACATAGAGAAATATGTTCCCATGACAAAAAAAAAAACAAAATCAAAAAACAAAACAGAAGGAAAGGCCAACAAACTCCACCTCAGGAAAAGAAAACAAGCAGGAAATGACACTTTCTTTTCCTAGAGAGCAGATACAATTCCTTATTTTTAAATACACTAGTTCCACTTACATTACTAACAGTGTTTCAGAACAAAGTACTGTTTGATTTGAAATCAGATTGTAGTTTGCTCACATTACAGACTGTTCACATCACTAATTTGGGTGTAAACACAGGGTAAGTGCTGACACATGTTTTGGGTATTAGCTGCTCAACTTAAACAACGCGGTGGCAACCATCAAGATCACAATCCCTGCTGGAGACCAGACATTTCCTAGGAAGAAGGTAACAAGTGAAGCTGCAGTGAGCTCTTCTTTCAAGAAAACAGTGAGTGAAGGCATTACACGTATAATCTTAGAGCTATAAAAAGTCTTGCCGAACCTTTTTATTTTTTCCTTTCTCTTTGCCATTTGAGTGCCCAGATGGTAATCCTATTCAACAGACAAATTCTGAAAAGAGACAATTTGTGGTTGTTTTATGTGGTCCAATCTATCTAAGGTTGACCAGCTTTTCAGGGAAAAACACTGGCAGGAAAAGTATGGAGCTGACATGGTTTTCCACAATCTCTGCAGACCTCAGAGAAGAGTGCATGCAAAGATGGAATATTAGTGGTTATTGCTTGTCTTCCCTGGTAGTCATCCGAGATTCTTTCAAGGGGACTGGTCTGAAAATACACTGAAGTATGAATGGACTACTAAATTTTTTTCTGCTGCAATGAATTATTCACCATATGACAATAAATGTGAAATCTGCATGATTGAAGCACATGATGTCATTGTAAATATAATTAAACAAACAAAAAAAAACAAACCTGCTTCTAACTGGGGATGGTAAAATAGCAGGACTTGAAGTTAGAGGGATGCCACATGTATTAATTTCCCATTGAACTGCAGTGGACTACTGAAAAGGCACTTATCTTTCAAGAAAAAGTATTTCGATGATGAGTTGTAGGGAATGCATAATGTTATTTCAATTAAGAAAGCTCTTACCTTCAGTACACGTCTTAAAATAAAAAAGAAATTAGTAAAAAATAGTAACAAAAATTTTATGGAACCATTTTCTGCATTAGAGAACTTAAAAACCAGTTTTGACTTAAATATATAATTTCTTCAATGGTATTTACTGCTGCTGTTGCAAATAAAATTTTAATTTCTTCATTTTGGTGTTATAAAAAACTAAATTTGTAAAATCTAAATAGAAATAATTTTTAATAAATGTAAATAACATAAATGTAAAAATAATGTAATGTAAATGTAAAAATAATGTAAATGTTCTTCAGATTTTCCTTTACAGACAGATGTGAAATTTAAGTTTTATTCAACACTGGTCCTAGCTATACGTAATTTTGAAATCTAACACAAAATTGATTTTCTCTTTTACACTGCTGCAGTGTGGCAATGACATGCCCAGAGATAAATATATTTTACAAATGCAGGCTTCTCAGCAAAATTTATCTTATGGGCTAACGAATTCCAAGAAAAATGCCAAAGCTGCTCTTCCTGCATTATGAACATACCACACATAAAATATATTGCTCACTCGAAAACACTGCACATATACTTGGGATTACTTAAATTTGAAGGATAGCTTCTTGTAGCAAAATATGTAGCCATGTAAACCTTTGCATTAGTTTGACAGCGTAAAACACATCACAGGCACATTATCCTAGAGCATTCCTTATAGGAGCAGAAATTCAACTACTAAGTAAGCAGGGGAAATAGTAAGAAGTTAATTATAGAGGAAAGTAGGGAAAACCTTCCAAAAAAAGTTATTACTCAGGGGAATTTATGAGTTGATGAAAATAAGGATTTAGGAAGGAAACAGTCACAGAAAATAGAACAAGTTCTAGTATAATCTTGGATCATTTCAGAGCATTCCCTTATTAGACACATGAATGACAAAGGCTGAAAAAAAACCCCTCTGTAGAGAAACAACATGTGTTGCAGGAATCTTTGCGGAAACAAGGGTAGGCATCATGTCTAAAGAGGATCTTAAGAAATATCTTGATGGCAGTAAGACAACAATTACCTTGGCATATATGCAGCTTTCATTGAGTTTTTGTAGTGTGCAATTGCGTTCACACATAGGGCACATGATGGTCTCATTTGCCTCGCAGATCTCTTTGCTTGAGTATGAGACAGGAAAATAAAGGTTATAAAAAAGTTGTTAGCATCTTCAGATTTTCTGAGGTTATGCTGTTTGTGATCTCTATTTGTTAACACAAATTTGCCTACCCTACAAAACCTGCTCAATAAAATAAATGAAATGTTTGGCATCTAAGCAATGCAGAAGGTACCAAACATTAAAAGGATGGACATCACTGGTCTAACTACACTGATTTCATCAACTTCAGTTTACAGCAGCTGAAGGCCTGCTCCACATAAGGATCACATGCACACACATAGATCACCACTTACATGTCAAAACAAACTCAAAGGAATTTCTGGCAGTCATCTTTGAAGTCATTACATTTTATAATTCCTACATAACTTATGTATAGAGATAATGAAAATGCCCCACACTTTGATATACTATTTTAGGGGAAAATACCTTCAAGCCACATACTGATGTTTAAAGATCCTAAGATTTATGAAGTCACTGTCTTCACTGGGACTGTTCACATTTAAAAGTTAGTACATAATTGTCTTGACGAAGGCAAAACAGAAGTAACAGAAGTGCAAAGATGAATTTTAAGGTGAATTCTAACTGCAGTGAAAGAGCTTCCCAAAGATCCCCAGCAATTGCCTTTCCCTATCCTTTGGCAAGAAATGATGCCTGAAATGATCCTATAACACACTAAGAAAATAGCAGTATGAAAAACATGCCAGGAAATCCCTATTAATTTGTTTTAATAAGCATATTGCTTTCACTTTCCTACTCACGAAAACCAATTTTACAGTTCTAACACTGTATGGAAGATCATATTTATTTCCAAATAAGTGCATCCATTAAATCCTGTCTGACACAGCAGTAAATACAGATGCCACTTCTGTAATCTTCAGCCATGCTTCACATACCATCAGAATCACTAATTCACTGAAATCCTACAACATAACATGGACCTGACAAAGAAATTGTCCTTGGTAACCCTCAAGCAAGAATGAGCAAAGCCAATCATTTCAATGCTACAGAGTAACAGAAATCTTGCAGTGTGTCACTGAAGCAAGAATTTTCTTGCTTGCATTTTCATTCAAATAATTAAGCACAGAAAATCATATTTCAACAATATGTTATAATGGTTTGGCAATAATGCAAACTGTTGTCAAATATAAGGCTAAATAGTACTGCACTTTTAATTTAAATTCAACATTGTAAATGTTAAGATTTTCTGTATTATGTATCTTCAGTTAAAATCTTGATTTGTTTTTAATATGATATTAAGTTTCACAGAATTATACTGACAGTGTAAGTTACATGCTTTGGCTCTACTCTGCAAAGGGAGTAACATTTGTTATGCAAGTGCTTGTGGCAGGTGCTATGTTAATCGTTACTGCAACTCAAATCTTCAGTGTAACAGAGCTAAATAAGCTGCTTTGTACTGTCCGCACTCTGACTGTACTATCTGCAATCTGACTATAGCACATGGTGCAAAGACACCTCAAGCTATGCTGTGCTCATTCATGCCTGGGCTTTCTGTTTGATTGACTGCAAAAAGACGACTCGCAGCAGTGATAACTAATGATATGCATAACCTATCAAAACCAAACTCTTTAAAACCCATCAGATTAATTTTCTATATACTAATGCCCCATCCCTGGCAGTGTTCAAGGCCAGGTTGGATGGGGCTTTGAGCAATCTGGTCTAGAGGAAGGTGTCCCTGTCCCTGGAACTATATGATCTTTAGGCCCTTTCCAGCTCAAACTGTTATAGGATTGTGTGCAGTAGCTTGACATCTAACTTGAGAATAAAGATAGGTCGTATATATGGCACATAATTTGTTGAAAGTAAAGAAGCCTAATGAAGGGATGGTTATAGGGCTATTAAAGTCCTTCCATTTGTCGACCACATTCCCCACAGTTTAGCTCAGGGAGGGCAAAAGGATCAAAATATATTTAAAAGTGTGTAAAACAAGAAATATAAATAAATGTTATTCATTTTTGTTTCTGCATATCTGAGCATTATGAATATAATCCAAACACTTTGGAATATATTACGAAGTTTCTTCAACGCAGATTCTCTGGATTTTCTCCAGGTTACCTTCATCACAAAACTGAATCCTGCAATGAGCTGCCGATGCTATAACCTCATTAAACTGGGTGAACTGAGTGCCAGCTCCTGGCAACCACAGTACTACCACATTTTATTGCAAGCCCATGCAACAAAAAGGACATCTTCCATTTCAACATGCTTTCAGTAACACTGCCCATCTTGTTCTGTGACAGGAAAGAAAAATGTCCCTAACTGTGTGGAAGGGAGAGACTTTTCTTTTCTAAACATGGGACATGCATGTCTATTTTCATATAATAGTGTCTAGCCCCTGGTATCACAGTATGCATGCAGGGTTTTTGTCTCATCTTATTTAACTTCCCTCTCCCTGTACAATACATGAGAAACATTGAACGATGTCATCAGATCTGAAAGTTTATTGTCTCCTGAAACTAACTGAGGAAAGGAGAGGAACTATGAGAAGGAAGAAAAGGCAGTGTGAGAGAGGCACCTGCCATGGGAAAGAAGGAAGGGTACCACCAAAAGGGAGTAAATATGCACCATTTCCAACTTACCTGTGCCACACACAGATGAACTATATAGAGTAGCTTTCCCTTACATAGGGGGCAAGGACTGACCACTCTGTGCTGGGAGCTGAGATGCAGTCTTGGCACAGGCTGATTATATGTGTATGTGTGTGTGTGTGTGTGTTTGTGTGTGTGTACATATATATCTATATAGATACATACATATGTAGGTAGATAGATATAGAAAAATATATTCAAATGTATATAAAAAGAGCCACCTGGTATCATGACAGACCCCAAGCATGCAGCAGAAGCAAGTAAGTCATATACCAAGACAAACTAGTGACATCATTCTGCATATCCCTTGAATTACTGCTGCACAAAACCTCCAGCTGGCATTGTAAGCAAAGGCTGCTTCTACAGCAATGTGTGCTTGTGTATTTGCTTATTCCTTCTGTTGAAATTGCTGGACCACAGTGAAGAAAGAACGAAACAATGGTTTTCTACCTGCAGCCACTTGGGGGGTGGGGTGGGTCAGGGCAGCTCCCTGTGTCTAAGATAGCGAGTAATACTGAAATCTGGGGCAATGCGGCAGTTATGACACTGCTATAATGCCCTAGCACTAGATTTAAATTCTGAATTGCCACTGGGTTTCCTGTGCCTAGATTTTGTCAGTATAATGTACCTGACTCCATCTCCTCCTGATGGCTGCTGCATACCGCATTTGCATACTGCAGGAGCTGCAGTGCTCAAAATCAAATGATAGATTTAAAAACTGTTAGAGATGTTTATCTAGCAGTTTTCTCTAAATGACTGCAGAAACACCAGATTAAATAATCTCACAGTCTCAGAATATGGCAAGAATAAGAATATTTAGGTTGTGCAGTGTGTCTGCCTGCTTATAGATGACTCCTGTCTGCATTAAGTAGGAGGTTCCTTGTTGAACCTCCAGGCTAAGTAGGCAAAGATGGCAAGGAGCAGTATCTGTTATCACTGGCCTTTAGAATGAACTGCCTATGTACACAAGGTGATATAGAAAAACACCTATACACATTTTATCAGGCAAGTTACAATCAGCTTCAGTTTGTAAAGCTCTGTTTTCAAATTCACATCTCACAGTAGGTCTTACTAGCTTGATTTAGCATTGCACTGATGTGACAATACTGTGTTGTGACTAACCAGAGTGCATGTACAGATTCACACCATCAAAGTCAGAGAGGACCTTCTGCCCAGAATTAATACATCCAGATTACAGATGTGAGGCTGACACAGAAAACACAGCTAGGGCTTCTGCATTAACCCACTCTGTCAGTATTCTGAAACGAACACTGTCTAATGTTAGCTATAATAAATGTAGAAATATTCCCCTCCCCTTGCAGGCATCTAGAACTTACATGGTGGATCACCTAACTTTCAGGCTTTTGCTTCTGGAACAGAGTCAAGAGTCCCTGATGGGCGCCTCGGTGGTCTGTATAGCACAGCATGATACGGAAGAACCTCAGGATGGGACCCAACACAACCAGCCTCCACAGGGAGCCAATTAAAATCTGCTGCTACTCAGCAGCAGCCAAGGGCAAAAACTCAGGACAGGGGAACATGAAAGCTACCTTACCACTGAGCTCCTGTAATTTATACCCTGCACCATTCAGCAAGCAAGATAACTGTATCTTTCCTGTTTAAAAGAGCTAAGCTGGAGTCTTCTCAGGAGAAGCCTGTGATATAAGCACAACATTGCTATACAGCTCAAAAATAAAAAAAAGTTCTTAGAAATTTTGTTCTTCCTCTTGGGGGGTGTCAACACCACATCTTTCTCTTACATGAGAAATGCCTAAAATACTAAGCCATACCCTGAAAACAGCAGATTACTGATCCTTGTTCCCCCCTTGCTGAAACTGTGCTATTGCACATGTTAATACAAGATTCCCAATTCAACAGCTCTAGTTGCTGTGCTCTAAGAACAGGCTGATGCTCTACTTGACAACTGCTACATTTTATGGACATTTATTTTGCAAAACAATCCTAATACAGAGAACAATACCTTAAAGACAGTATAGTTTCCTGGATGATACATTTATTGAATTTAATTGCATTTAATGCACCTTGAAGTTGTAAAGTCTCTTGGGAGTTATCTGTACAAAAGAAAGCCTACAAAAGCCTTACAGCACTGTAGAATATAATAACTCACTGTGAAATATAAGATAAAGACAATTCCATCAAGAAAACTTAAATTAGTCCTGCTCAAAGATGCAGAAATGACACTTCCTATAAAATCTGACTCCAAGTTTACTCACAGCCTAAGCACTCAACCTGCTTGAAGCAACAGCTGCAACTGTAAATCACCGATACTCTTGTGTCTGATGACATCTAATGGAAAACTTTGTAATGACGGTGTAATCTCTGAAACAGTTCCTAAAAATACAGCCAGGAATTAACTCAAGCAACCTCATCGCTATATCTAAATGGATGTAAATCTCAGAGCAAAATTACAACAGTGGAAAACTTGGAAAACTAGGTTCATTTCATAAGGTTGTAATCTCTCTGAAGCTGGGTCTCCTAACTGCAGTTTATACTGTAAAGAGGGAGTATGTCTGACCATCTGTATGTTCAACCATTTCATTCACTGACTAGAATGACAACTACTTCAGTACTACAACATTAAAGTTGGTACTTGCCATTTTTCCTTACAAGCAGAATAGGAATCACTGCAGATGCAGTTGTAAGAACACTTTTAAATGGCACACATATAAAATGTGTATGCAAACCAGATATACAAAGTGGATACACTTGCCTGAAGAACCCAGAGCTCTATTTGGTTATTTTTACATGATTACCATATCTGGAAAACATTTAAAAGTATAATGATCTAAGTTGTGCCTGACGTTCTTAATTTTCAACAGGCTAGTATGTGTTATGAAATAGAATTTTACCTTACTTGGCTGGAATCCATTGTAAATAGCCCATAGAGGAAAACAAAGAGCCCAACCAGGGCAGCAGGAATAAGCATTCCAGTATACCATCCCAGCCAGGCAAAATACAGTCCAATTTTTTCACCAAAATATCGCCTACATGAAAAGGAAACACACAGATTACTTAAAACTTACAATGACTGCCGTTTACAGCAGCAGAATGATTCTAATGAGGAATGAACAACACAAGTTTATGGTAAAATTGTCAGTTTACCAGAATGTTCTATTTCAGGCCAGCATTACATTCCAGTGACACTAACTGCAGACTTACCAAAACACGTATTTTATAAAAGATATAACTCGTCTGTAATTTTCACGTCCTTGCAATGACCAAGTAGATGTACTAGTTTCAACATTATTAAATATAGGACATTTCACTTGCACACATGGACACAGTTACACAGATAGACAGATATACACATACACGCAAAAATTTTTGGGAAGGGATGAAGTAAGTAGGTATGACCTAAGTATTCCATTATAAAGAATATTTAGATAGAGAATCATGTAATATGACATATTTCACACTACTACTAGAGAAAACAATGGACTGAAAACACAAGTTGAAGATTGAGCTTTAATTCTTCAAAACTTGGCTATTATTGCATTAAGAGATGAAGTAGCAGTGACCAGAAAATCAGTCAAGGATGATACTATTGGACCAGCACAGAATTGTCCCATGGCACAGGCTTAGCTCCACAGCCTTCAGTGGAACAACGATTGGTTAGGACTGTCAGATCAGGAATAAATCTGACAGCAGGGGAAAATGAATTATTGGTACTCAGTGACAAAGATGAGGAAAGTACAAAATCCAAACATCACAATTATTTAACCTCAGTTACATATATTTCTCTGCTGTACATATGGTAATCCATGACATTAATTAGAAGATACATCTACAGAAGTTTATTTAAACCCCATGAAAACATAAGTAGGCTGTGTTTTCAAGCCACCTGATCTGGTAACTGACTGTTCATGTGGATAGGCATCTTTCCTCTCCAAGGTGCTCTCTAAGTGTCTCTGATCAGCAGACAACATTTTGTCTGGCTTGTACTTTAGGTTTCACGCTGAGAACTGTCAAGCAGCTGGACCTACGTGCCTTTTATGCATTCTTATTTGAAATTAAAAGTTACAGGAAAGCACAAGGAGTTTAGCAGTACCGTTAACGCATTGTTACCAGGTTGTATCACAGAAGCAAGCTACTCTTCCAAGTACTATTACCTGATTAAATCAAGAGGTTGGTATTTATACCACATTCCCCACCGTGCCCAACGCTCATATAAGAGGTGCCTGTGATTCTGAGCTCCGTGAGTTTTGATGGGATGTCTGCTCTTGTGGCTTCCCTGAAAAACACATTGAAATAAAGTACATTACTAGGCACTATGGAATACACTTAAAATTTCTTCAGGTTTTTTTTTTTTTTTGAGTATAATATTAAATGTTTTTAACAAATAGGTCTCTCATTAAGGACATCTCCAGGACATGTCACCTGGAAGTAACAGGCCTGACAGAAGAGACATGGTTACATATGCTTATGAAATGGCCAGTTTCTCAAAGAATTTATGACAGAACCATAGTAATAGAAGGCTATAACGAACTCCTCAACTCTTTATATGGTTTCAAGCACAGTGTTTCTATTTCGCTAATCCATTATTATTTGTATGCTTTCACCTATTTCAATTTGTCTAAATTTTTCATGGGATATATGCAGGTGTTTTTTTTCTCTCCTACAGAATTTCAGAAATTTCTATTATGTCAACTCACTTCTCCTCTCCTAGGCATTTTCTATTACTTTATTTAACTCCTGTTTAGCAGTATAGATAAACATGTCTTTCTGTGGCACATATTTTCTAAGACGATGCAAAAACTTGAATGGCATTATTCTGGAGCTATGTAGGAAGTAAAAGTCAGAAGTAAAACCCAGGATTGGTCTGACCCAAAAGGAGTCCTTCCAGGCCAAGCCCAACATTTACAGACTCACCGACAGCCTGCAAGAACAGACTCATGCTCAGCAGTTGAGAGGTAAACACAGGTTTGCTAAAACAACCTAAGCAGGATCTCTTGGATTTATAATTTTCCTCCTATTCTGAAACAGGACAACCCCTTGAAGTTGAACTTTTTATCCCCAAAAGACCTCAGCACTCTGTTATGGTAAAGAAAAGCTATCCTCCAATAACTGCAAGTGAGCCAAACTGTTTACTGGGAGGGAGCAGTGTTCCCCAGAACAGTACTTCAGAGTAAGCAGTCAGACAGACCCTGGGAGATCCATGTAATGAAGACACTTAGATTTTTTTAATTTACTTGAAATTTCAAGCATTCTCCATTGAAAGTACACTATTTACCTCCTGCAATCTGCTAACCCTCTAGTTTAAAATGAGTTAAAACCAAAGCTAAACATCGCTAGAAGTCCAGTTCTACACATTTCTCACTACAGTTAGCAAAGACATGCACCAAAAATATCAACACAGAGTGTGACTGTTGCAACATCTAGGAACACCCAGAAACAGATCATCAACTTATGCTCATAGCCACCCACCTAGAAACAGAACACCAACCAATTTTCACAGACACCTGTAGGAATGACTGCAAAGTATAAAGGAATATTTTAAAATCTTTCCCCTTCCCCTGCTCCTTTCAGCACTGTTTATGCCTAACAGAGTTCAAGTCTCAGCATTTCCACTGGGGCTGAATTTTCATTCTTACTAACTTGTGTGATAAGACAAAATAAAAATAAAATTGAAAGTGCTCCAACCACTAGCCCTTAGTGCCAGTCAGGCAGAAATTAAGGTACGAGTGGCTTAAAAATATGATTTCATTAACCTTAGCTGAAACTTTGAAACAGTAGCCATACAAAGGAACATATATGTAAAATGGATATGATAGAACAGTTTTGACAGCCAGAGAAAGCTTCACAGGTTTTTCTGGTGTTACAGCCAGCTTTTCCCTGAAGTCAGTAATGCACAGCTGGAGCATTAACAATGATGTTCAATTATTTATCTAAAATACTCCTCTTCTATATCCCCAGTATTTAATTATTAATGCTATATGAAAAAATTACTCTCAGCAATTTGTAAAACACAGGTCAGTTCTCTGAAACACAAGACCAAGCCACAATATTCAGCCTGAGCAATCCCAGAGTTCACAGAGTAACCCGCAGTTACCATGTTACTGATCGGCATTCAAAATGCCTGAAGATGTGTGGCTTGCTTCTTTCCTTTCAATACATGAAGACTGTATGAAAACCCTCTGAAATCAAACACAGGTTTTTTATTTACTTCATGGGTTTACAGTCTTCAGTAGACTTTAACCTACTGAAAAAGATACTGCCAAGTAGAAGCTATCCGGAACTATTCAGAAAAGACTAAATGGGAAATAATTAACCAGTCTCCCTAACAGTGATGAAGTGCACAAGCTATTAGAAAAACAGAACATTTTATAGGTGGCAGGCAAAAATAATTTAATACAATTAAATGTAACAATTTGGAACAACGGATATTCTCATTAAGAACTCCACAGGCAATGTCCCATTCATACAAATAAAAAAAGAAGTATAGCATTCTATTTCAGCAAGAAAATATTCCAGGAAGTTATTCTAATACATTGTATAAAAAGAATTTTAAAAGCAAATGTTAAAATAAGAGCTATGAATAAAAAGAGTTGCAACAGATTATGCAGTGACATTAAACGTTTGCACGACAAAATTAAAGATCTGAAACTGCCAGGGCAAGTTTTAATCTAAACATAAATACAAAATTAACCAGGTTACCTCATGGGGTGGAAATGCTGCTTCATATGTTCCATTATTTAGTAGCCTATTAATACCTAAAAAGAAAAAAAACACATTAGTTTCTATGTCAATTTTTTTATACACAATTTCAAGCAGTATAAATTTCCAAGTTAGATACTGAGAATGTAATTTAATATTAGATGCTTAGGATGCTGCCAAACATGTCAATAATCAATAATCCCACCAACTGTTTACGCAGATCCTCCAAGATTTCTGGCTCTGCCAAACTACAAGAGCTTTCTGATGGCCAGTATCTGCAACTTTTCTCTCGGGGTCGCATGCTTGTGCCGGATTAAGTGCGAGAAGGCAGTTATATTCCGGTTGCATTCATCAGAGCATATGATATGGATTTTATGGGTGACATACACAGAGAATGGTATGGTACAGACAACCCTTGAGGCAGCAAACCCCCTGCAGGGTTAAAAGCTAACCTATTATTTTTAAGTAGAAGACAGCTGAAGAACTTTGTATCAGAGCAGTGCTCTGCATCATACTGGCTACAGCATTCTGGATCAGTTCCTACAGTCTTCCTAAAACCAGATTTGTTGTACTATCAAAGAACATTATAAAAAATAAATAATACACAACCATGAATAATGGTAATAAAAAGATTCGGTAACTTGCAAAGCATGTCTGTAGCCCAGAGGTTCCCCAGAAATTAGTACTTATGACAGATTTCAGATTTGTCCATTCAAACATACAAATTATGCAAAACTAATCTCATACTGAAATTTGCATTCATCAGCTTGAAGGGTGTTATATTTGACCCTTGTTTTCTATGGCTTTCCTGCTACTGCTTTTCTTCAGAAACTCAAGCAACAGCTTTCTATAATTAAAAAAGATAAATTTTTTATAGCTTCAGGTTAGGAAGAAAATACATCAGTCTCACCCATTTTGGATTTTCCATCTTCATACTTAGTTCTCTGTAGCATGTGATGCACGATTCTACTTCTTGTGGAATTGCTGAAGAAGCTGTCTTTGTTGTTTATTGTAAAACTGTTTAAATAATGAATGGCTTTTAATATTCAAAACAATGCACAGGTATTGAAACATAGCTGCTCAAGTGTTTTCTTCTTACAGTGATTTATTTGATCTCTACCCCCCTTGGTTACTGCACAAGACCACAGAATCACAGACTGGTTTAGGTTGGAAGGGACCGTAAAGTTTCAAAGCCTCTGCCATGATACAAGATTTTACATCCTTGAAGCATATTCTCAGGTCCATTAAATTTACCATCATCACAGATTATGGTTGGGAAAACAGAACAACTAAAAGTAAATTCTAAAATTTTCTACTATCCAGTTAATTTCTGTTCTGGATATAATTAATTTAAACGAAGATCTCCAGAAGCAGTGGCTGCTCTCAAATTCAAGTTACTTATGAATTGGCAGATGTCTGTGTCATGGTACTGCAGGAACTATAATTTAGGAAAAATACAATAAAATACCTCCACGCACTGGACACCTGAGTAGCAGCTCCACCCCACTTCCCCTTGAAGAGTCCCAGGTTGGAGACAAATAAAGCATCCTTTCCCAGATGGCTCTGGATTCTGGATGCCAGAAATCTGACATGCAGGAGTTTTTGCCTGCTCAGCTGTGCCAAACGTGACACTATTACAGTTGATAACACCAGCTGAGCTGTTTGAGATATACCAGCAAAATAAAGTGACTAATATAATGCAATATAGTCAATTGCTGAATAAAAATGAGATTATGATGCAATTACTGTCCTTACAGGGAAAATACAGTTCATTATCATATAGCTTCTTTACTGAGAAGAAAATATTCCCCTTTAGTCTAATTTACACTTCTGCTTTAAATGAACTTTTCTCTCAAAAAAAAAGTATCAGTAAATACTTTAAAAATGAAGACACAGGCAGAATTTTAACATCTAACTTTCTGGGTCCTGAAAAAAAATAATTATGGCACAGTTTATAACTACATCACTATCCATATGCTGATCTGAACACATACAGTTCTTATTTGTTGTATATATATTAATACTTTCAGATATAAAAGCATTTTTAAAAAGCAGATCTGAGAGAAAAGAAACATTCCTGGTTTTAGCTTGTCTTGAGGTGTTCCCAATTTCAACAGCTGTCTCGGGTTTTGCCTAAGTAAAATACGTAATTAAGCAAAGCAAACTTGAGCAAATATTTGCATTTTGTCATGCAATGGAAAGAAAAACTAAACCAAGAAGGCAGGGTTCATTTGTCAGTCAAATTTCTGTCTATACCTCTGAGTGACTAAAACAGCAAGTAACATCAAACATCAAGTGACATCAAACAGCAAGTAGATTTTGGCTTTAAGAGAAAACTCACAGAAAATATCTAATATGATAGTGGGTGTTTGCCAGTGACCATCTGTTACTGGTTGCCTCTATGGCACTCGCTTAGATGAAGTGAGAAAATAAAAAATCCTTGTAGTCTCTGGCACTGCTTTGCTAGTTCCGGCACTTACTGGTGTATGCGTGCACGGCTAAAGGGGGCTGTGTAGCAATCTGTTTCTTCCAGATCAGGTAGGGCCTCCTTATCGAGCTTCATTGGATTTCTGGGCAACCAACTTTTCAGCTCTCTCATGTTCCTCTGCAAACTGAGACAAAAAGAAAGCAGATTTACAGGCTCTCACCTGCTTGCTATTTTCCATCTCCAACATTTCATATTTAGTGACAACAGAACTAGAAATTAAATGAAAGCAGAAAATTGCTACTAGCATAAAATAAGGAGCTAAGGAGCAAATTTAACAGTTTGGTGGTTTTTGTGGGTTTTGTTTGTTTGTTTGTTTTGATCTACTTGCATGCTTCACTGAAGCACAACTCATCCTAAAATTAGTGGGACTATGGTCTGAGATGGGACTGTGCTGTTGAGTCTTCGCAAAATAATATTACATGGTAGTCCCTCAGAACTGTGGATGCTTACACTTTACTCAAGAATATATTAATTACTTTCTTTAGAGGCACTGGCCAAGGCAAATGTAACTCCTCCCTCCCTTGCCTAGCAGCTTGGACACTAAAACTAATAACATTTTAAAGTACATATGAGAGAGTTCAGGATCACATTTTTAAGGTTTTCTAATTTCAGTAAGTCTTCCTCCTGCAAAATTTTCCTCAGAATCCAAGGGCTGATATTGCCTTACAAAACAGGATACCTGAACATCAAATAAAGGATACATTATACAGACATGGCTATACAGTATTAAGGCGGAACTCCTTGGTATAGCTTCCTGCAGTTTTGTAAAAAAAATGACATTATAAACTACAAACAGAACATAATATTTGCATCCCCAATTAGATTATATACTGGTGACATAAAGGTCTTTCTTCTACTGGCACCTTTGAAAATTAGTGTCTCAGGATATACAGGGGTAAATCTAGTGAAGTGCAGTTAATTTTCAGCAAATGCTATAAGTTACCTCCTCATCACTTTGATTTTGCACTCCTTGCTTACCTATATTTTTTTCATATTCAACTTCAATGAAATACGGGTATTTAAGGAGTAGATCTATTAAACTAGTGCTATAAACATTACAGATCCAGAAAAAGTCTAAAAATCAGAAAAGCATGCCCTAAATAATACTTTATTAGCAGGATTTGGGCCTTACTCAATAATAAGTTTGATACATAAAGCATGTCTATCTCCTATCCACAAAACCTGTAAATTTCAGCATCAGATTTATTTGAGGTGAATTCTTAACTGCCTGTGCTAAGCATAAGCACAGCTACTCATTTCCTAATTAAGAGTAGTAAATGATGACAAAGTAAGTTGCCCTCAGGCAGCTAAGCGACCTCTGTGAAAACACACTTCTTATTAACATCAGCAAAAGAAAAACATTCTACCCCTACTTGACACAGTGTCAGATAGAAAGCTAAATCAAATTTTACATTTTAAATTCTCAACATTTTCTTCTCGCTCTACATTGCCAAGGCATTGGCACACACTCTGTATGTAACTGATACTGCACTTGAGGGACACCACTCTATTTGACACAAAGCATGATGAGCCAAAGAACATAAATGTGTTCATAAAGTCAAAACACAGAATACGGGCAGGCACATCCCTTAAGTGTCTCCTTTACTCAAGCAATACCTTACTGTTGAGTAAGGTATACTGTGAGTTAATTATTGGTTCCAGTGGAAGTTCTGTTGGTACAAAGTTATATATTGTGTGTATCAGTAAAGTTTGCATTTCATTTTTTCCTCTTTTCTTCTGTTGTACACATGCTGATATTTTGCAGAATCAAACCCCAACCTTTTCTTTAATGAGGAAAAAATGCACATGCATTAGGAAGAACAGTAAAAGAATGTATTTGATTTCAAATTTTTATTATGAAATTGTTCTAAAATTGGTTATGTGGAAAGTCGTGATATTTTCCTCCCTCCAAAGATCTAAAAAAAATTAGTAGATAATTATTATCTTAAAAGAATTAGCTCTTGTTTAACATTCATGTCTGCTCCTTTTGACATGCAAAGTAATGAAGAACAGTATTGGACTAAATTAAAAATTATGTCCTCATTACATTTGCAACTTCTGAAGCAAAAAGATCTTTTATCTAAGATGTGATCGCTTTTTCATTACATCACTTATAGATGAGGACTCTGAAACTTCGTGTCTTCAGATAGCATTAAATATTTCAAAGTTCATCACCCCACATTCCACAATAATCCTCTTTTTTTGGCTTACATTATTTCAAAGTTGAAGTTTCACGAAGCTTTCAATCAAAGTGTTAACAAATTTAAGACAAGTTTTTGCCTAAATCATAGGACTAAGGTATTAGCATTCTTACTCAGAGTGGCTTTCTAGATCAAAAGTAGCAGATTAAACAGAATATTGACTTCAACTATTCAGTGTAGTCTTTTTAATAAGAGTTAAAAGCTGAACTGGTCTGGTGAAGTCACTCATGAAGTCAGGACTTCATGCAGTGAGATCAAAAATGTCTGAGTGGCACACTGCTGTAAAGATATGAACTACTACTTCAGATATGCTCCTACTGAAACCACTCCAGCAGGCACTACTGCAACTTTATGCACATTGGACTAGGGGATGCTGTTCTGAAACACGTATACATATTATTATTTGATATAAAATATAACATTTTATGAAGATGCCTGTAATTTCAGTTTTGCTTAACTTCCATCCTCGACTATGCAGTTCTTTTACATGGTTAGCTGTTCTTTTTTGCAGAACTAGTTAGTCCAAAAATCCTTGCCGACTACATTTACTCTGCAGACTGCAATGCAAAGAAACACAGTATAGATGAGTTTGGAATTATCTGATCAGACTCATGGAATAAGATACTGGAATTAAGCAACTGACACTGGTCATGTTAGGTATTTTTGACAGCAATCCCCACCCAGTAGTTTGGTCAGTGTTTGTGCCTCTCCAGACCCATCAACCATATGCCACCAAATGACACAGCCGTGGCATGTTTCCTTCTTTTGTATTAGGGAACATGTTACAGTTGATGGATTCAACATACGGACACAATCACCACCAAAAAAAGAAAAAAAAAAAGGAGGTATTTTTTCAATGGAATGATATTAACAATTTCCCTTCAGTGTGCAGATTAAAATCCAAAAGGTTTCAAAAAGTCCTTGTACAAAGCAAAATTATTGCAGCTCAGCTGCTCAACAAAAATCAGTTTTGGTTCTCTAACCTTAGAAGTATTAATTTATTTCAACATTTCAGTGGGTGGAGTGAATCTGCATACTAAGGCAACTCTTTTCATGTTGTTTTTCTCAATGTCATTCTTTACCAACAGTGAAATTGGTGTGTCTGATATTGTGAATACAAGATCAATTCATTAAGAATATTCAGTCTTAAATATGAGCGTTCAGGAAACTTTTGATACTTGCATACCCCACTTCTAGCAACTCACCTTCCTTTGAAAAGATTTGTGAAGGCTTTCCAAATATTGCTATTAATAAGTATGATAAAATTATTTCTATAGTGTGGACCTTTGAATAGAATTCAGGCTTCACAGGGTGAAGTACAATGTTAAGGGTTTTTTTTTAAGGTACATAAATGAAGAAATCAAGAGATATTACATAGATATCACATATAAGGAAGGTGGTATATCTGTAAGCATTCCATTAACCTCTTCCTTAATTCATGCTCCTAAATCTTCTGTGGAAGTTTTAAAGAACATTTAAGATCATATAACCACATCAATAAATTGAGGGAAGTGTACATGTTGCAGAAGGGTCTTATATGCTAGTACTACCTCACATTACATTATAGAAAATCTGTAGCCTTAACATTTTACCTTTGATATACAAAGATTGGCTCTTGCAAATTCCACAGAAATATTAGTAAGAGATTTAATGAGTTACAGAGAAGACTTAAGCTGGAAAAGTTGTAAGATGAAAAGAAACAACAGTATTATAGAATGGTTTGGGATGGAATGGATCTTAAAGATCATCTAGTTCAAGATATGTACGTCACCAATTTTAGCATTAGCTTTCATTTTTAGAAGTAGCTTCTTTATTTTTTTTCCACACTATTGCTTTGTGCACTGTATTACAGAAATTGACAGAAAAAGTATTCAGAAAAATATTCACCAAATTCTCACAAAGTAAATCACAAGTAAAAGTATTTGTCTCAAATGAAAAAAGTCAATCTGGCATGAAAACTGTTTATTACTTAGTTCACAGGTACCATGCAACTTCAGTTGCATGCTTCAGGCATCTGTCCTTCCATAATAAGGAAAATAAATTTATTTAATATCTAGGACTCACCAGATGGATTACAGACAAAATGAGACAATTTTGCAGCAAAGCTTGTTGATTTTGCCCTTGCATTACAAAGCACATCACTTACATTTTTTATAATGCACACTAAAATGGAGCAAGCATGTAGATGACTGGGAAGAGTAAAAAACGCAGTTGTAAATTTAAGTTATAGATTGTTTTATTTCAATATATTTTATCTGCTTATGCATTTAAAGTTCTGTCACTGTACCGTTCAACGGTGCTTCATCTGTTTCTGTTATATAAAAACATGATCATCTTGCTGATCAGGCTGCAAACTGATATCATGAGACTATTTAAATTTTTCCTAAGAAATAATGAGAGATCTTCATCATCTAAAGTAACAACAGGAGAACAAAATCAACTGTAACCGCAGCTCAAGATCCATTTGAGAAAACCCATGACAAAAAAATTTCAGATTTCCCTCATGTAAAAATTTTCCTATCTTTTCCATAGGCAATTAGGATTTACAAGACATCATTATGCCTGGCTAGAGCAACAGGGAGTGATTACAGCTCCCAGTGCGCCCTGTCTTTATTCCCCAGCTCCCTTAGACTCTTTTGCATGCTGCTGTGGCCCCTTGTTCCTGTCTGACAAAAGCAGCAACAGCAGTAGTCATGGGTGAGGTCTGCATGTCTGTGTCTCAGAGTTAAACAGCTTTCCCTGCAGTTATTCTGACAGCTATCAAACCTAAATTCAACACAGGCTCTTGTGTGGTGTTGATTTAGTCCATATCACCAGGACGCACATGAGGTGTGCGTTTGCATGTATAAGAAAATAGCTGAATACCAGAATCTGAGACATACCCTCAAATGGATCTTTGATGCCAAAGAAATATGCCTCGGTAAAGCAGACAGAACTGCAGAGAGAGCTCTGGCATTAAATCTTTCCTGCCAGGATAAGGCCAATTTTTTTCTGGCATAAATATTTTTGCATTTCTAAAATGAGACCTGGCAAAGATTTGAAGTACTGCAACTTGTTACACATGAATATTGTAACACTGTGAGCTAACATATTTTGAGTTTTCAAGAAAATAATTGAATTTTCCAAGTTTCCTCAATAAATTTGCAACTGCGAATGGATTTTCTTTAGCAGGGTGACTATCTGGTAAAATTAGAAGCTACACATCACCCACCAACCTGCCCATCGTTTTGCTCCTCCAGTCAGTGTAATAACATTTTTTCCTGAAAGAACAGCAAAAATCAGCTGAGAATAATCAAGTAGGAGGCAGTTGCAAAGCACATACATATTATAAAAGCACAATGGACATTTTAAAACATGCATTTTCATAGGCAGAAAACCAGAAAACACTTACAAATGCAGCTGGAATAGAAAAGTTATTAAAATGCTGTAATTTCACATACTTTCAAGTTTGAAATTTGAGTCAAAATTAAAATTTATATTTGTAGCTAATAACAATAATAGCTTGTAGTTAATAGCAGTAATAGCTAATCAACAATTCCTTCATCAGACAAGGTTCAGTGGTGTCATGCTATGTATTCATTTCATGTGGTCTTTCTTAGCCTTTACTTCAGAAAACTCATTTTAGGAGAATCACCAGGGCTCCCATACTACTAAATGCTTTATGCACTTTATGCATTAAATACTGTAAGCACTTAACGTCATGATATGCTCTCTTCATTCGTTGAAGTGCTCTACCATCGCCTTGCCTTGACATTTTGCATCCAGCTGAAGAACAATACACAGCCCTAAAAATGTAAGGGTACTAACTGCAACAAACAACTTTCATGTTAACAGTTCTTTCCACCCTTCAGTGCTCATAGACACTTAGAGGAAGACAACCAGAAATCCCCTCTAAAGCCTTATGAGAACAGTTACTTTGAAACTGTACAAATAAGTATTTTCTGCAACGTTAATATTTTGCATATCTATTTTGAGGCTTTCAGCTTTTCTTTTTGGCCTACACCTACCATTTCATGGCACATTTAAACCACACAAAGGCATTGATTTTGCAGATTCCTTGGGTTATCCATATATTTCCCATTATTCTCATCTGGGGACAGTGAAGCTCAGCATCAGGGACTGTGCTCCTCACTCATTTCATCTTCTACTTAAAATTTGCCTCAATGCTTTCCAATTCTGCAAGGTTTGCCTTTATAAGAGGAATCAAAAATTTGGCTACATGATTATAAGAGTTTAACATTATTTCAATTGATATTTTACCCCCCCCCCTCTATTCTAACACATAAAAATGGTAGTTTCACTCTGAATACTTCTCCATCACTTCTTAGCCTAGAACTACTCATAATTAACAAGATCTGCAACTGCCCATCTGGGCAGTATTTGAATCATTGAATTTGAATCACTTCACATTACTTACATTAAAGTAACAATGAACTGAATACATTGAAAAGAGTAAGATGGAAACGTGGCTTGAAAAAATAAGCAGCCATTGGAAAACTATGTATCTACCAATGTGCACAGTGATGGCAGCCTGGCACTTGGTACTACTAGGCAGAATGGTAAAACAAAGCAGTGAAGAATCATGAAAGGATTCTCAGACACTACATTTTTTAACAAAACCTCGTTCTCTTTAATTGGCCTTCGCTGTCTTGCACAGATGGGAGTCCAGCTAAGCTACAGATACGACTTATTTATTCTTTACACACAGCAATAATATGCCACAAGATACCTATAGACACAGATTTGAGTTCTTGAGCTCCAGAAACAGATGTTTTATTTCTACTGACAGACCGTATACTTAAAAAAGCTACAAATTGTTTTAAAAAAAGTACAATTCAGTCATGACCTAACCTTGTTGCTAACATAAGACCTGTTTGAAACCATATACAACACAACAGTGATTAGCACAGACAAGTCTTTCAGAATGTGAGCAAGATTTCCTTTTGCAACTGAAACACCAAGATTCCATCTGTGTTATATACATGATGTATACTTTGTATCTGCCAACACATATTCAGTATGATGCCATACTAAAACAGTTCTGGGATATTGGGTGGTCCCTCATGTCAGTAAAAGCATTTTTTACTTTTCAGCAATGAAAAGAAATACTTCTTACCCTGTGTAATAATTGTCTTGGTTTTGTTTAGATTCCTGGATTAAGCAAAATGAACGTAAAAAGTACATGGTTAATTCTTATGGCATTAGTCATATATGGTACCAAAATATATTTTTAGTGACCATACCTAAAAGCCAAAATTTTGCAGCGCTCTGCAAGAGAGCAAGGGTATACTGTGTTGAAGTAATGCAGGGAGGGTTTGCTCTTTGGCAGCCAGAAACCACTGATAGATCAGATGAAGGCTAAGAGAAATAATCTATTCTTAGAATCACAGAATATCTCCAGTTGGAAAGGACCTATAAGGATCACTGAGTTGAACTCCCTGCTCCTCACAGTGAGGGAACCACTCTAGTTCATTGTAATTGTGAGAGAACTGTATGATTTGAGCTTCATCTATGCATTGAATGAAGAAAGTAGTTGCTTCAGGAAAACAATATATGCCACTCAGTTAAGAAAGGTTTGATTAAAATAAGCAGGCTCAAGACTTAAACAAAAGTGCTTTGACAGAACATGTCATTGAATTACAAAGTGTGTGGTCACAGGATGTTGTTACAGAAGTTTAAATTACTATTTCTGCATCCATGAAAAGCCACCAGTGGCTAATATAGACATGAAGACATGAATTCTGCCTCAGAAAGTCTGTAAACCACAGCCTTCTGGAACGAGAGAAGGCACCATGATACAATGCCCTATATTTGCTCGGCTTCTGTACTGGACACTTCAGACAGGCTGCTGGCAGAGCCAAACAAACCTTAGCTATTCTGCTACATCTACTATGTGGTCACAATAAAAATGTATTTAATTTTATTTTTTTAGAAGTATGGAAATTAAATTAATACACTGTTTGAAATATTCTCACTAGTTTTAGATTGCATTTTCATTAAAATTCCTATTAAAAACTTTGAAAGGACAAAATAAATGATCAGTTTACTATTTCTCACAGTTCTATGATGGTGGTAGACGTGGAGAGTGGGCTTTTTTCTTACCAAATTACTGTGTTTCATTCTACAGCAAAACTGCCAACAAGATGAAACAGAAGAATTTATGATTTCATCTACTTTTAGTGTAATGAACAACGCTGGATAAAAGGAAGATTAAGCAACGGCCCAGAAACAAAGAAACAGGGATCAGACACTTGGGGAAAAAATGCCCAGATAATTTATTTATATCTCAGTTAATAACAATAAACAAACATAACTTCAAATGCCTTCCAAATGAAGCAGCACTTCAAATCTTAGCCCTTCTTTTCCTGAAGAGCACTACTGAACTATGAAGTTACTAGAAAGATGAAGAATTCAAACCAAATCATTGCTAAATCCTAACTTAATTTTGTGACTTCATGTATCAGAAGGATGAAGGAAGTATTTTTTAATTGGAATTTCGACTGTTTATGTATGTGTACACAGAGGCAAATACTTCTATATTTAAAATGTTGACAAGTATTTTTCAAACTAGAGAAGCTCAAATGCACAAAGAAGATGACTTAAGAAAACACCTTTTTTATGGGAAGGACTTTGAAGGCTTAGTGGGATTAGTGGAAACTCAGTATGGAACTGGGTATTTGAAGCAAGTTTTGAGCGAAAGATGCTTCATGATGACTCCAGTTTAGGAGCAATACAAGAGAGTCATACTGTGATAGCTGATAAAAGCAGGGACATGAAGGATAAAGCACTTGGCAATTCAAGTAAGAAAGAAGTGCTCTAAGGGTATTTTCTGTTGAGTCACAGAGCTTCAGCATCTAGTTACCACTTTTAACTCCTGAGGAGATTTACAGCACACTACATGCTCTTCTGTCTCTGGAAGAACATTATTAATAAATTTGAAAAGGCATGTTTTCTCCTTTAAAAACTCCTGTATTGTTGCAAAAAGTATTAACTGTGTCCTAAATAGAAACACTGGAACTGAAAGGTTTAGGTTGGAAAGGACCTTAAAGACCAGCTAGTTCCAACCTCCTGCTATGGGCAGGGATGCCTTCCACTAGATCAGGTTCCTCCAAGTCCTGTCTAACCTGGCCTTGAACATTGCCAGGGATGGGGCAGCCACAGCTTCTCTGGGCAGCCTGTGCCAGAGCCTCACCACCCTCACAGGGAAGAATTTCTCCCTAATTTCAAATATAAATTTCCCCTCTGTCAGTTTAAAGCCATTACCCCTTATCCTGCCACTACACATTCTTGTAAAAAGTCTCTCTCCAGATTTTTTGTAGGCCCCCTTTAGGTATTGGAAGGCTGCTATAAGCTCTCTCTAGAGCCTTCTCCATGCTGAATGAGCACAGCTCTTTCAGCCCGTCTACAAATCAATAACAAATATTTATTGTAAAAACATATGATAGAATTTGTTTAGAATACAGACAAGGAAGTCAATTCGTTTCATTATTCTGCCACAGGAAAGCTACAGAACTGAGAAATAAAGATATCTAATTTTATTCAAAGTATGCAAATATATGTTATATTGGAGACACATGAGACACCAGCTATTTCTGTCATTTCACTTGCTTCTAGGTAAGACTTCAGAAATACCCTAAAATCATTGAGAATACCTGAGCTCAGACCTCTCCAAAGCCTTAAAATAAGTGAACCACTAACAGTATTTTCTAAAGACATATGGTCAATATGATTTGGCAGGTAAGTCTGAAAACAAGTACCACAGGTAAACGTGAAAAGAACAGTGCTTATGATTTGTTTCTCCTCTCCCTTGCCACCACACTAAATTACATATAAGCATGCCTGGCCGCGACGTAACAAAAGACTGCATTTTAGCCTTACGAAAAGTAATGAACTTTTAGTACTAAGCACTAAATTACAAGTTTCTAAAAAGAGTTTCCACAGTACCTGAAAGGCATCCTGATGTTCATTCTTTCCGCATATTTGCACAATGTCTCCCATGGACAGTGAATTTTAACAAACATGATATCACTGTTTGTAACAGCTGGCTGTAAAGAGTGGTAGCAAACAAATACATGTTAACAATTCAAACCTCTATGGCATTCACCTTTCTAAAACCATTCCTCAGGGTCAAATTCTGCATTTAGGCCTTCAAGTGACTATGCAAGTCTGAAAACACTGTAAGTGCTCTCAGCTAGACAAAGGACAATTATTAACTTCTTTGTTTCCTTTCCAAACCCGTAATAGGAGTAAGCTAGTAATCCTCTAGGCGAATCTTTGGTCCCAAACACAGCAGAAGTTGAGAAAAGCTGAATGAAGCATTTTTGGACATGCAGTAAATGAATTTACTTTAAATCCCCTCCAAATCATCTTAGATGAGCAGCTTGAAGACTATTTCATGTGTCTCCCATGTAAGGAGAAGAGTGCTCAGCTGCTGGAGATGTACAAACAGCTGGGAGAAGGCTGAAGATCCTGCTCTGCCAAATGGCAGCTCCAGGGGACGGTTAAATAATTACAGTATCTGCGATGAAATTATAAATGTGATCTCTGTATGAATTACTATTTTTTTTTGTAAAATCTCAAGGAATACTCCGTACAAATGTTTTCAATTGATGACTTATTTATACATAAAACAAGTTTCAGCATTTCAGATTATCTTTCCTTATGAACACTTCAGTTCCACACCCTTCTCCCAAGACATATTTGCTTGAGCTTTATAAGTAAATACTTCTGTACAGCCAAGTCTGATTATATCCTCCCAAAAACTTAAGGGATGCAAGGTTTGGTAAGTAAAGGTAAAGCAGAATTTAGTTAAAGGATTAGTAAAATCTTTATTGTTCACAATTCTAACTACACAGTTCCAGAAAGTCATACGGCAGTTCAATAATACTACTTCTAGGATTTTATTTTTCTTAAATAATGTGGATAAATAAATACTACTGGAAGACAATTTAAACCACCTGATATCTAGAATTATGATCTCAAACTTCTTGTTTTCTGAAGTGTCAACTGACATCAGTTGAGATTGGGATTTTTATTGAAATTTGAACAAAACCAGGTATTTTTACAACTAGACTGTAAGAATCTTTAAAAGCCTCAAAACAAAATTTTAACCCACTCTCAGGTTAGATTTTTATGACTATTTAACATGCATTGTCAGCTACAGCTTGCAAAGACTACAAACTGGTTAAAACCTTTAACACAGAACATATAAGGTGATTCCATTGAGTTGAAATGTATAAATCGGGATAAAAGACACAGGCACTATAGGAGCTTACTTCAAGACAGACTAAATATGTACCTGTTTTGTAAGTAACTGGTAAAAGCAAAAACTCAAGGCTGTTTTCCTGGCTCTGTTTTCCTTCATTTTTATGTTATTATTATTTGTCATTATTAGGAACTGATTAACTTGACACTGACAATCTTAACCCCTTGAAAACCAGAGACATTTAGTCCTTCATGCATTCTGCTTGAAGACATAGAGGTTATATATTAAAGCAATAACATGAATTACTGAAGCTTCTTCTGGTCTGCTACCATAAGGAGCTGGAAGTTTTCACTCTACTACACTACACCCGTATGGAGACTATGTGTGTGTTTGTACAAGCATGCATCTCCAAAACATGTTAAACGTTAGTAGTAATTTAGTAATATCAAACAAATGGTAGGAACAGCCTGACTGGAAAGGCTTTTAAGATTTTCAAGAATCTTTTATAAATTCAGTTAAGTATGACAATACTATAAAAGGGGTTTTATGCCACATAAGCTACAAGACTTACCTCTCGTTCTAACATCAACCCTTCTGCTCTCAAATTCTTTTCAAATGTGCTTCTTTTTTCTACCTGTGGACTTGACTTCTTGTACACCAAGATGTAATCAATGCGCTTTTTTCCGTCTTTGAAGAAGAGCCCAGATGATGCCATGGCATCAGCCTGGAGAAAAGAGAACAAGAAAACCCCACCAAATATGGCACCTGTGAAAATGAAAAGCCCCATCACGAACTGCACGTAACACAGCATTTCCTAAAGCATAGAAAAGTCCATGCATCTCCAGGATGAATATGTAAAGAAGTAACAAGAACAGGCAGTTCATATGCATCTTTTGCTCAGGATTTCGAAATACTTACAATGAAATGAAATAAAATAGCTCCACAGGACCCATATTCTACCCATGTCTTTCAGCTGAACAAAACCCTTAAAATTATTATGTATATTAAGATATGAACTTACATTAATCCTTACTTTCCAGCAGCAATTGCTGGAAAAAAAATAAAGACAAGGAAATGAAACCAAATTTCCAGCTTTGTACCTGGCCAAATTTTACAGAACAAACATACTTGTATTTTCTCCAAAAGAGAAATAAATCTAAAAAACTTAAAAAGATATGCTACTGATTGGAATGTTTTCCTGCATATTCTAGCTGAAGAACTTTTCAATGCCATGTTAGCAATATTTAAATTTTATCTCATTCCTTCCCACCATGCTTGCAAACAAAAGGGATTCTCTGACCTTGATATGGAAAACTCTGCTTTATATGCTGCTGCTGTAAGCTATGTTTGCATTCTGTCTTTTGCATGATTCAGAATAGACAGCGACTGTATCAACTGGTGTCAGACTGTGAGGATTTGAAAACTGAAAAGGTAAACTGAGAAACTGTCGTCATCTTCTGGAGATTGCAGCACTCATTTTAACACAAACTGCACAGAACAAGTACATTAGTTTGAAGTAAGATACATTACAACTCTATATACAGGACCAGAAGTCTATGACTATTGCGTCTTTTAGCAGATAAGATGCTAGCCTTTGAAATCCATCCTATTTGGATTATTGCCTCATCCCTGGCAGTGTTCAAGGCCAGGCTGGATGGGACTTTGAGCAACCTGGTCTAATGGAAGGTGTTCCTGCCCGTGGTAGGGGGTTGGAAGTAAATGAATTTTAAGGTCCCTTCCAACCCAAAACAGTCTGTGATTCTATGATTCTATTAGATAAGAAATTTATAATACTCAGAGTTATATCCTATAGTTACACTCTCTATTGATAAATAGAACCAAGTGTTAGAGCATGGTATCAGCAGTGTAAATACTGGATACCAGTTCACTTGTTTCTATGTTAAAAGTTTTTCTTACTCCCACATACCTCACTGCCACCTTTCTACATACTTAGTGCTTCTGAGAACTCCTCAGTCTGCAACAACTAGTTTTCTAACAAGATTCTTCCTCTTTCTCTGCTTTCTTAACTTCTAAAGCAAAAGCAAAGGAAAAGTCATTCTCAGCTACTGTTGCATCATAGCTGGGAACATTATTTAAATAGATTAAGCTTCGATTTAGAATCATAAAATTGTTTAGGTTGGAAAAGACCTTTAGGTTCATCAAATCCAACCATTAACCTAACACAGCCAAGCCCAACAGGAAACTATGTCCCTAAGTGCCACATCTACATGTCTTAAAAGCCTCCAGCAATTATGATTTTGCTACTTCCCCGGGCAGCCTGTCCCAGTGCTTGACAACCCTTTCAGTGAAGAGATTTTTCCTAGTATCCAGTCTAAACCTCTCCTGGTTGAACTTGAGGCCATTACCTCTTGCCCTGTCACTTGTTACTTGGGAGAAGAAACCAACACCCACCTCAATACAACCTCCTTTTATGTAGTTGTAAAGAGTGACAAAGTCCCACCCCCGAGCCTTCACTTCTTCAGACTAAGCCCCCTCAGTTCCCTCACACTTGTGCTCCAGACCCTTCACCAACTCCACTGCCCTTCTCTGGACCCACTGCAGCACCTCAATGTCTCTCTTATAGTGAGAGGCCCCAAACTAAACAGAGGATTCAAGATCGCGGTCTCTCCAGTACTGAGCACAGGGGGGAGGACAATCACTGCCCTGGTCCTGCTGGCCACAGTAGTGCTGGTACAGGCTAGGATGCTGTTGGCCTTCTTGGCCGCCCATGCACACTGCTGACTCACATTCAGCCAGCTGTTGACCAGTGCTCCCAGGTCCTTTTCCACCGGGCAGTTTTACAGCCATTTAAGTACAGTTAAGCTTATTTTCTCTTCAGCAGCTGGTGATGTAATCAATTGCCTGCTTTTCCAGACAACACTTTTCAAAATTAATCATAAAAGCCTTCTGTTACCTGCTCCAAGATACACTCCTGCTTGTATATGTTATTAACAAGCTTATGAATACAAAATGGTGCCAGAAGTCTCAAGTTTGTCAGGGCAGGGAAGACAAGATGTCCAATGTAACAAAGAGAAACAATATGGAAACTGGAAAACAATTAGTAGAAATGGACAGTCATAGGAAGAATGATCTTCCAATCATAAATTATTTTTGAAGTTTGTTGAGAATAGGAAATACCCTTTTGTTTGGCTTTTGACTTCAGATTTTCCTTTTTTTATTCCCATGAGAAATTAAGTATAAAAGGGAAAATACTTTATTAATATACCAATAAAACAATTTTTGAAGACTAGAATACCACATACTCTATTGTATTTTTATGCATTCTTCTACTTTGATTTATCCCAACATATTCAGATAAATGGTATCTGAAGTCCAAATTAAGGTAGTCAAGATGGCTAAGCAAGATTATTAGTGCACAGAATACAGGGTTTGTCACCCCTTCTAAGAATTCTAGACTTAGACAGTAATAAATTTTTATTATTTTTAAATGCTACAAACATAATTATCTAAAGATACAAGATGCAGAGATTTGAAGGTGAGGTAGTGGACTCAGGTTTTGAATATGAAAATTTTTAAATACCCAAACATTTTTCAGGTTTAAGACACAAGCAAGAAATCTTCAGCAATGAAAAATTCCTGCACAAATACTTCAGAAAAGCGGACAAGAGCTGCTTTTGTGCTCCATGAAGCAGGTAAAATGAGACAGAAAAGCTTGGACAAATTTCTCTCAAAAGGAGAGACCTGAAACTTCTGTTATACAATTTCTGCTCATGCAAGTTCTGCACAGACATTGTACAAATTAAATCTAACTTTCTGTAATAAACTTTTGCCTTTCTTTGGATTATTACTTCTGGCCTTTCTTTCATCATTTCTAAATCATTTTCTTCAGTCTTGGAAAAACATGTTTTCTTTCTCAGATTAACAACAGTCTGCAAATATGCCTCAGATTCATCTGCCCCAAACAGAATTCTTTGAGAGCAATGTTCAATAAATAATGAGCTGCACTGACGGCAGAGAGAAGAGTTTCATCTGTTCATCGCAGAGCACTTTCAGAGTACACTGCCACCAGCTAAGAAGTGCGATAGTGAAGCCAATCACCACAACTGTGCAGGGAACCTGATCTTTATCGATTTCAGGACTGATTTGCTTCAACTCTATTGGCACCACTAGTCTCACTTTAATGCAATTCTCAAGCAATACTGTCCACTTATATTAACAGGAATATCAGGAAAAGAATTTAGCTAGTAATTTAGGTGTTTTTTTTTTTTCAGTTGATGTGAAGGAGCTCTATAAAGTATACCGAGAACAGGGAGAAGTAATTTCAATTAAATGTGAGTCAAGGTATATTGGCTATCATCTACACCTACAAAAGGGAATCAGTCTCTTAGTACAAAGGCCGTCAAGGCAAAGCACACTCAATATTTATGTGCTCTTTTGGACCAGTAAATCTCCAATTCATATGTCGTACAAGAAGATTTTCCTTGGACTGAGCCAACATCAAGGGATTTTTTTCAAGAAACTATTTTTCAGATTCTAATTAATAACCAATGGGCTATTTACAAAGTGGGACCAGCTGTTTTACAGGCTCTTTCCCCAATTAATTTAAATAGCCAGGTTAATAAATGGTTAAAAGGGTGGTGTCACAGTCAGGGGTTTGGGTGTCTTGAACATGGGACCCAAGTTTGTAGGCCAGGTCTAGCGGGGGCTGGTGGAGCTGGTGCATTTTGGTAGGAGACTTGCCAGACTGGTCAAGGATGCTTTAAACTAGATGTGTTGGGGAAGGGGGGCATCATTCCATCCCAACACACCCAGTCAGTTGCCAGCACCTATAATAAATGCTCGGAGCAATGCAGAGATATTCCAGCTGTTCCAGCCAATGAGCCGGCTTCATTTGGAACTCGGCTCAGATGCCTCTATACAAATGCCCGTAGCATGGGGAGCAAGCAAGAGGAATTAGAGATATGTGCTTGTCTACAGGGGTATGATATTATAGGCATCACAGAAACATGGTGGGATGGCTCCTAGGACTGGAGTGTTGGAATGGAAGGTTACAGACTCTTTAGAAAAGACAGGCCTGGCAGGCAGGGAGCGGGAGCTGCCCTTTATGTTAGGGATAGGCTGGAGAGTATGGAACTCTGTCTGGGGACTGGTGAGCAGTTAACAGAGAGCTTGTGGGTCAGGGTCAAAGGGAAAACAGCAATGGGAGACATTACTGTGGGGATATGTTATAGACCGCCTGATCAAGAGGAATCTGTGAATGAAGCACTCTATAGGCAGATAGGAAAAGCCTCACGCTCACAGGCCCTCGTTCTCATGGGTGACTTCAACCACCCTGACATCTGTTGGAATGATGGTACAGCCCGGCACAAGCAATCCAGGAGGTTCCTGGATTGTGTGGAAGACAACTTCCTTCTGCAAGTAATAGAGGAGCCGACAAGGAGAGGTGCCATGCTTGACCTCGTGCGCACCAACAGGGAAGGGCTCATTGGAAATGTGGCACTCCGGGGCAGCCTTGGATGCAGCGACCACGAGATGGATGAATTTGAGATCCTCAGGACAGTGAGAAGAGCGTGTAGCAAGCTCACTGCCCTAGATTTCAAAAGAGCAGACTTTGGCCTCTTCAGGAACCTGCCTAGTAAGGTCCCATGGGATATAGCCCTAGAGGGCAGGGGGGCTCAAGACTCTTAGTTGGTCTTGAAGGATCACTTGCTACAAGCTCAGGGGTGTTGCATCCCAACTAGAAGGAAGTGCAGCAGGAGGGCC